TAATTTAGAACAGCGTAACATATGTAAATGTATATAAATTTATTTATAAAATTATGCTATTGATTGTATCCACTCCATTTTAATATATGAAATCCATCATGAATCCGATGATTTTTCTGATTTTGAAAGCTTATAATTGCATTCAATCACTATAAATACAAAATATGAGTTTGAATCAATACTGCAAAAATTATTTTTGCACTGATATTGATATTGAATTATTAATTACGAAGGTTTGCGAAGGTTTTAATAAAAACTAGCATGGTTAATTATTTTTCCGTTCCTCGAATTTATTTTTAGCCGACTACTTCAATAAACCTCTTATATTTTGTTCACGAAAATAAGAAATGCTAATAATGCACTTTAGTGCAATCTCAGTTTAAATACTAAAATTAAAAATTAGATTGAATTATCATATCTATTTTTATCTCTTAGTTTTTATGTTTGAGTTATATTTTTAAAACAAATTATGGTCTATTTTCTATTTTTTGATCAAAACCTTCTGTAAACAACATTTTATCAAACATCATCTATTCCATCTATAAAACGTCTGTTTTTCCAAGGTTTTTAGACAAAAAAAGTGGTACTTTATATTCGGACGGCCAAGCCGTGAGTAATATTCATTATCTACTGGCATTATGCACATGACGGAGCTTGCGCCTGCGCATTTGCCAACGGAGCCGCACGAGGCAGTATGAAATGCCATGCGACGTCAGTCAAACACGTCAAAGCAGGCGCTGGTGCATGGCATTTATAACCTTACAGTTTGTATAAGTGTGGGAGCAAATTTTGATGATTTAAAATACAAAAGTTAAAATACATAAACCTCAACGTGGAACTAGAGTGGAAGTAGAAAAAATAGCGTAAGCATCACGTTACTAAACGTTGTGAAACACTTGATTGCTTACACTCTCGTTACGCTCGCTCTTAATCAATCTCGTGAGAAAAGTCAGCGTTTAACCACTTAATACTAAATATACTATTAGAATTATTGGTGTGAATATGCTGAATATACTGAATGCTTTTACTGCAAATTGTATTCTTCTGATCATGATACTCCAATTATTCAGTAATTAATACATATTTCATTGTTACTTAAACAAAGAAAATTTTAACTTATTTCTATGCCTTTAGTAATGGTTCAATACAATAACTACAGTATCATAATAATAACAAAAAGTCAACAACAACAACACTGAAGAAATTAGTGTTCATTGCTTTCTTTTCTTCAGCATTGAAATGTTATCTATACAACTTTAACAACACGAACATAACCACTAGCGAAAAGAATTGAATAGAAAAGCACTTAGCGAACAAAAGAACAAAGGCGGAAGCGTGCGCTTGAAAAACGAAACCAGCAAGAAAATAGGAAAACACTCGTTGCGAGTAAATTGAAATCGAAGCACGTAAAAGTAATGAGTTTTACACGCCTCATCGACTGTTAATTTCTTTAACAAAGAGTGCAGAATACGTGTAAGAATCGGGAAAAACGCGCTACAGCGTAAAATAAAGTTTTTTGCTTACCAGCACAGAAAATCAACTTGTAGACATTATTTTATTAACAAAAAATAAACTTTTTTAAAGAAAATTCTTTAAAAGTTTACATTTCCTACAAAAAAAGACAAAAATAAGATTTGCATTAAATATTTCCTTAAAAATAATTACAGAAAATGTTTAAATATATCTATAATATAAAAATAAATCGCAAAATCTGTTTGAAAGCGCATAACTCAACAACGCCTTCACCAATTTGGTCAATTCTTTTTTTAAATGTGTGTTAAAGTCCCAGGATGGTTTTTACGGCGAGAAAATTTCGAATAATTGCCGGGAAAACCCTAAAGACAGCCCTTTTCTATAGAATAAAAGTTAGCATTGAGATTCAATCATGGTTATAGTTAAATAATTGAATCCTAGATGGCGCGCAGAAGTGCATTATTAGCAATTCTTTATATAATTAATTTCTTTAAAATAAAATTGCGAATTTTATTGATAGTATTGACTTATACTATGTCTAGAACAAGAGAGTAAAAAGAAATTACATTTTTATTAAACACTATCGAGACGAAGTCGTGGATAAAAGCTAGTAAATAATATAAATTGTAATATATTAGTAGTTAACAATGTCAAGGATAATTGTTGTGCCAGTTGTAAATGACAGTAACAATTATTTTCCTTGTGTTTGCTTGTGTAATCCGTGTTATCCTAGTTATACGCGTATGTAATCCTACTCATCCGTGTTATCCTTGATTTCAGCATGCGTTCGGTGATCCTTTAATCCTTGTTTTGGCTCAAGATGTTTATCTTTATGTGGTTTGAGAGTTGAAGCCTGCTTTCATGCATTCTAATCACTTTGAATCACTTTTAATGTGTTCAAACTTTTCAAGATTACAAAATTGTCTCATATTTGGAGAGATGGAGTAAATATCTTGATATAGAAAATCATTAATTACATAGAAGCAATTATCAGTTGTAATATTTTAATATTAAGAGATATATTATTAAATTTTGAGGAAAATATTGTTTGAATGGTAGAAATATCTTGTTTTTATGTCAGTATTAAGCAAAACTAACTTTCATCCCTTATTTTACACCCCTAAAATTATATTTGTGTGGAAAAAAGTAGCCTATTTGCTTTTCCAAGGTCTAAAATATTCTTATACCAAAATTTATCAAAATGGGTTCAATCGATTTTGCGTGAAAGTGTCACAAACAAACAAATAATTTTTTTACATTTAAAACGTTATTTGGCAGCAGTATATGTAGTATATGGATAAAATTTAATAATAAAACTATAAAAATCAAATGAAATTTATTGTTCTTTTTTGTTATTAACAAAAAACAAAAAATATTTTAAAAAACAGCGCCATCTATCGTTCATCTGCGAAAACATAATAAAAAATTGCCTAAATTTTACTAAAAATGTAAATGTAATTTAATTGATGTGATTTTATCGTCGCGTCGCGTTAATCACCCCAATAAAAAGGGACCTCTTGCATAAAATATGATCCTGTCCGATAATCCTATAATCCAATAATCTACTCACCGAAAAAAATAATTCACGCACTACCCTGGGCGTTTTTATCCGCCGCGGTGTCGAATATCATCACAAATTGACAGAACGAGTGTTGCACACAGGACGAACAAATCCCACACGTCATCATCGTCACGTCACTCATACATTTCACACACACACACAAGTACGAGTAGAAAGTAGCCAATGCGTGAAAATCAATATTTTAGGAGCTATTCAAATAAGGATATTCAGGATACAGAATACAGCATTCAGAGACTTGTGTAATCCACTTTATTATTGGCTACGCATTCGAAAAATAGAATTTTATTGTTTATTAGGCATAAAACAAATGTTCTCGTCATTTTTATTGCCTACACATCCTTAAAACATGTGAAATTTATTTTTAGGATTTAAGGATTGAAGGATAACATGTTTTTAGTGGAGATTTTTATATAGGGTTAAAATCAGTGATAAATCAAAAAACATCCAATCAAATAAATTTTATGACGCTATTATTATCTTTTTGGTATTATTATCCTTAATTTTATCGTCCTGTTAGAATTCACTTCCGGGTGCTTCACTTTCACATGTGCTATAATTTTTATTTCTTTGATTTATAACTTTATTGCTTGTTAAAAAGAAAAAATAGTTTTTAATATAATATCCTTAATAAAAAAATTAAGGACTATTAAGGACTATTTAAATCAAAAGTTTTGAGGTTATTACGCTTAATAATACTTAAAAGTATTAAATTTTAGGCTTGAAAATAGTCTGGATTGTATAGATGTATATATGGTAGTATATCCTTGTACATCCTTGAACGTAAAAAGGACGAAAAGTCGCTAAAAGTGAAAGTGAGCTTAATAGTATTTAAGTGTTGGGATTCGGCTGGGATTAAGGGTACGCACGCCGGAAGGACATAAAATCACAGTCGTTTCATCCTGCCGCTCGTCCTCAGCCTTTTTTGCGTCGTAAACGAATAATGCTTTTTTGAAAGGACCTTTAGGACGTTAAATATAATGAGATAAAGTGATATATGTTTCAATATGGTCAACTTTCAAAATGTCTCAATTTTAAGGGCTCCGAAACTATATTTAGAAATCATTTAGAATTTTTATTTAAACTCTATTGTATAGATAATTTAATTGGCTTTAATTTTATGAAAAAATGTTTTATTTATATTAAATAATTTAGTAGTTATAGCCAAAATAAGAATAAAACAGTTTTTAAATTTTGTTTAATATTGACTGTATTTTAAATTAGTTTATATTAATAGTATTATTAATGTATAAATGCTAAATTATAGATAATTTTATCGTTTATTTTATAGTTTTTAAAACAATTGAATTTGTTTATAAATTAAAAAGTTACAAACAAAAGAAACTAAAAAATCATATTTATTTAATTTATTTATAAAAGACATTTATTCATTTATTAATTATTATCCTTTATGGTTAATTAAAAATCTTAATTTTTTTATCTCTAAATAATTACCAATTAAATTATCTATCATATACAGTAAAAATTATTTAATTATGTTATACCAAACTTTAGTTATATTAAATTTTCTTGAACATTTGTAATAATTTCCATCACCTCCACCTAACATATTCCAACTTTACGTTCAAATAAAATCAATTTGCAAATTGTCACAGTAGCCAACATAAAATCAATCAACAAAGAATTTAATTACGCGTCCTTTAAACCTAAAATCAATAAATTCTGAGCTTGCAATCAGGAGTTACGGCGCTTTGAAACAAAAGTTGCGCGTAACGATAAGCGAACTTCGCTTGAATAAATCAACCTCGCCGCAGGATAATCGAACCAGCGCGTGTTGCGTGGTATTATTAGCAATCTGTCACGTTGGTTGCAGGCAGCAGGTGGCAGGTGCTACCCAACATTAGCATGTCGGTACTTGGAATGTGTGTGATGTACGGAAGCCGTTTGTTTACCAACTTTGTAACAGTCGCCATCTTGATCATTTCAGGCAGTTGTCCGCTGGGATCATTTCCCTGCCTCTCGACAGATTTGTGTATACCGCAACAACAATGGTGTGATGAGACTGTTCACTGTCTGGATCGATCCGACGAAGCGTCCTGTGACGATGTCCATCAGGACGAGTTGATTAATCAAAAGTATAAAAAACGACCTGGCGCGAGGATGGATGAGTTACCACAACATTGCGGTGAGTAAAAAGTTAAAAATAAAAATTTTTAAAAAAGTTTAGGAAAAAAAATTGTTGAATATTAGAATTTTTTGCTTTCTTTTTGATCTCTTGAAGCGAATATTTTTTTGCGAAGCTTAACATATTGAAATGTGCACTCCGGCAGATTTTTCCCACGCGCAGACAAATAATTCATCCTTCAATGGAGGCTCACATCTAGCGTATGCTGAAAATCCGGCAAATCCTCAAACGGAAAACCCGGGATGTCGATGTTTGCAAGCCAATATTGTCTGTAGGCATTTACGTCTTGTCACTGCGCCTCACATCGCCAAAATTTACAATTTGACTGCGAGAATCGTTGATATATTGTAAGTAATTCAATATTAAAGAAAAAAAATTAAATAAAAAAATTTAATATTTTTTCTAGGGATTTAGGTGGTAATACTTTTACACATCCAGATAAATCAACATTTTCATCGCTTCAAGATATACACATACGTAACTTGTAAGTAATATTTTTTAGTTAAATTTTTTTTTGTAGATGGCGTTACTAAAAAAAACAGTTTTTTGCTTTTTATTCCTAAAGCAATGCAGATATTTAAAAACTATAAAATGGATTCGATGGAGAATTAAATTTTCTTTAATTTGGTATATATACCAATATTGTGCGATTTTTAGTTTTTTAGATATTTCAAAAAATAAAAAATAAAATTTTCGGTTTTTGAAAACAAATTTTTGCACTTTATTCAAAAACTGTCCGATAAAACCGCACAAAAAAATAAATACTGCACTAAATCATGACCAGATGTATTGCTCGACAATATTTCAAAGTTTTGTTTTGTTTGGTTATCTCTTATCAGCGTAAAACCTTAAAAACTCCTCAAAAACTGCTTAAAAATCTTTATTTTTTAATTTTCACGTTCATTCTTTCCTTTTAACAACTGTTGAATCTCTTCCAATGTCCTGCCTTTAGTCTCCGGTACAATATAATAACAAAACAACGCACCTAACCCACAACTACCCCCAAAAACCAATATGGGTACACTTAACCCATTTAAATCTGTCATAAACTGAAAAAACTTCGTAGTCACACTCATCGCTATCGCAAAATAAATATTAACCAAACACATCGCTTTGGCTTTCACACTCTGATTGAAAAGTTCTCCTATCATTAAATTAACAATACTTCCCAGCCCAATCGAAAACACAATAATATACAAAATCATCCCACCTAAAGGTAACCACCATAAAGACGACACTTCTATACTCGTAAAATCTCTCAGGATGAAATAAACCGCTTCGATTGTAAGCACAAAGAAACACGAAACACATGAGAATATCAAAAGTGGTTTCCTGCCTGTGATGTCAACCAAAATCGACGAGAAAAACGTCAGGATTAATTGAATCAAACTGAAAATATTCGCTGACAAACTTGGTGATATTGTATCAACTGCTTCTTTGAATAATTTTTGTGTGTAGAGTGTGAATGCGGAAATTCCTGAAAATTGTTGGAAAGTTCTCAGGCCGATTACAATAATACATGCTTTGCGATTGCTTGGTATACGCCATAGGTCCATGAAAGTGCCACTCTCGGACAGTTGGCGATCAACGTCATTTTGTAGACTTTCAAGTTCTTGCTCAACGTTTTTTCGTTGGCGTAAGAATTGCAGTGATTTTTCAGCTGCGCTGCGATTGTTTTTCATGAGTAGGTAATACGGTGTTTCTGGCATGAATATAAAACTCATTAGAAATGTTGCTGGGAGTATTAGGCATATCAACGCGGTTGTTTCGATTGTGAAGTAGGATCCTAGTACGTTGATTAATAACATTCCGACTCTGAGGGTTAGAGAGATGTAGGATCCAAGTGTTCCGCGGATTTTCGGCTCGGAGATTTCACCGATGTACATGGCCATTACGGTGAATGTGGCGCCCTCTCCTAGTCCACCCAGGAAGCGTGCTGTGTAGAGTAGGGCTATGGAATAACTAAAATTTGAGGTTATGTTAGTGGTGTTTTTGTAGTGTTGGTTTATTCTTACCTTGATAAGTATATTAGGATGTATGATAATATTTGGGGGAGGGAGATGAGTGTTATTGTGCGTTTACGGCCGATGATGTCTACTAAATAGGCGGAAATGGGGCTGGCGGCCATGTTGCCTAGGGCGGAGATTATTGCTATGTATGAACCTTCTTCTCTGGATACTGGGTATTGTAGCTCGCCGTCGAGGAGGCGTGGGACTGAGGGGGAGGGCCATGCGATTGATACGCCTGCTGCTATTGATACTATTGTTGCTATAAATATATAAAATTATACAAGGTGATATTAAAAACATAATTTTATTTTTCTAAAATATTTTTACGCGCAAAATTTAAAAAAATATATCTTTTTGTCTTTTATGTACTTTAAGTCCATTTTAACACCCTGTATATTAAAATTTAACGACAAAAAGTGGCCTATTTGCTATTCCATAATCTAAGCTAGATCTATACCAAAATTTATCAAAATTGATTAAATGGTTTTCACGTGAAAGCATCACAAACATACAAATTTGAATATAATAGCTAAATTAGCTTAACTTTTAAGTTACTTACCTGATATTACTGCTAAATATTGCGACCAATGTTTGCTATCCTCTTGAATTTTCTCATCACCATATATTTTATTTACAACTTGCACCATTTTGATATCTTATTAATTTCTAAATCTTTTATTATCGATAATATTTGTTTAAATATTTCGTTTACTTTGGTTTTTGTTTTTTATAAATTTAACTTGTTGCTAAGTGTAATGTTGGTTAACTAATGAACTAGTTCAAGTTTCGGCATAAGGACACATGTGTGCGCAATGTTCGGAGACGGGATAATATTCGGTGCATAACTTTACCAATTAACGAAACGCATCGCGCATTTGTGCCATTAAGTGTCAATTGCTAATTGACCTGCAATGGTCGGCGATAAGTTTACGATTGTTTCGCGTAATGCCTCTTCATTTTCGCTATATCATTTTTATATTACGCTTCATTCAACTTTACAAAGTTAAGTAACAGTGTAGTAATTATAAAGTTACAAACATGTGTTGATTATTTTTAATGTTTTGCGTAAACAAATAGATTAAAGTCACGCTGCTGGTAATTTATTTGAAAATAAAATTTATAACATATTGTTCCCATTAAGCATTAAACAATCAAAAATTATTAAAATTATTCTAAATTTTCAAAAATGCATTGTTGATTGCCTAATGTAGAAAAGCACAAAACTCTGTTTACCTATGTATAATATAAAAATAAATCACAAAATCTGTTGGTAAGAGCATAACTCAACAACGCCGATACCAATTTGGCCAATTCTATTTTTAAAATGTTCGTAAAAGTCCAAGGATGGTTTTTACGTCGAGAAAAATTTGAATAATTGCCGAGAAATCACTCAAGACAGCTCTTTTCTATAGAATAAAAGTTGGCATTGAGATTCATATCATAGTTCGAATCATAGTTATAGTTAAGTAGTTGAATCCGAGATGGCGCTGAAGTGCATTATTAGCAATTCTTTATATAATTAATTTCTTTACAATAGAATTAACACATACTATGTCTAGAACATGAGAGTAAAAACGAATTACATTTTTATTAAACACTACCTGCACGAAGTCGCGGACAAAGCTAGTAAGGAATAAAAATAAAAATCAGGTTTAAATAAATTGCGCTATAAATATCTATATACTTTTAACCTAATTTACATCTTTTTGGTTATGTTTAAGAGTTTTACAACATTGCGGAATTGAAACACTCAACGGAGATTGTTTTGTTGATCTTCTGAAAAATGGTTTAGAAGAATTGTAAGTACAAGTTTTCCATCTTTTGTAATGCGTATTTATGTCAATCACAATGTCAAACACATTTATTAATCTGCGTTTCTTCTTATTTATATGCGTATAATGTATAATAATAATCCACTTTGTTTTGTTTCTAGACACTTGGATGGAAATCGTATAACCCGTCTTCACGACAAACTCTTCAACGTCAAGAACAACGATTTGAGACTGTTGTAAGTTACGAGTACAATATAATTTTCAGTTACAAGTAATTTTATATAGGTCATACTAATTCATTTCTACGATTTAGTTCCCGCTGGTTTTAATAATAAGTAGATAAATATTTTGAAATATTTATTTATAAAATTTTACGTGATTTACATAAATAACATAAATAGTTTATGAAAATGCCTTCAGGGCAACATTTAAAATTGTAAAATCTAATAAAATCACGTAAAATTTTATAAACAAATATTTTAAAATATTACAATGGATTACGCATTGACAAGTGAAAGTAATAGTAAAAAAAATAGATAAATCAATTATTTTTTTCTTTTTTGGGCATATTTTGACGTAAATTTGTCAATAGGATTCTCGGTTTTAATGTATAGAAATAAGGAATGTAATGCAGTTTAACGCCATCTACGCTTAAATTACATAACTATAATTGTAATTAATCCCTACTAATATTATAAATGTGAAAGTCCTGATGTTTGTTACACTTTCACGCAAAAACTACTTAACAGATCATCATGAAAATTTGTACACATATTTTTAGAGGTCCCCGAATGGTTATTGGCTACCTTTTTTTAAATAAAAAAATTATTTTTTAAATAAAATAATGAAATTCTTTGGCCAATAATACCTCTGCATCTGGTTATTTGACTACTTTCACGCCATCTAGCATTCCAGCAATGAAGCTCAAACCTAAGTACTATAGTACCATCACACTGTATTATCACACTGTATTATCGACAGCTACGTCAACATCAAATCCAATTGACTACACTATGGAGACTGTACACTATACTTCCATAGACTATACTTTCAGCCATTTTAAACTTCCCGCCATTCTACTTCATTGTGACTACAGACGCGTACAAAAGCAACTTCATTATTTTAGATATTCGCGAGCGAAACTTAGCGAAGTTTAATTTTTTTAACAAAACAGAATCTATTCCCTTTTCCATAGTCATAAATACACCCATTTTAAAATTTATCAAAATTAATTTTGTGGAATGTGCGTGAAATTGTTACAAACTGACAATTTATATTAATTATACGTATTTGGATTATAACAGCATTATAATAGTGCTATTTAACTTATATTCAAATTTGTTTTTAAATGCCTTATTATATTAATTACTTCATGCTTGTTAGTAACTTTTGCTCTGCGTACTTAAAGTCCGTAATTTAATATTGCGTTTAAAATCAACTTGACTTGCAATTTGCTGCTTGGCTGCACAACAATACATAAATCCCGAGCGTTTTATAAAGTTTTTTCTCACTATCCTAATATTATGTGCATAGTACTTACTTACTCACTCGTATCCATACATACATTACATTCAGTTACATTTAACAACAGTAGCACAAGTTTTTGCATTTATTTCTAGCGATAGATACGATACGCTGCGGTTTTCTCAAGTTTCCTTTCAATTTATTCCTATTCAATAAATCTACGTCTGTTTCAGTTTTCATTCATGCAATTTTACAATGCTGTAACATCTGCGTGTTAACGATAAGAATACAATGTCAATTGATAAAAGCGATAAATGTTAGTATTGGCAGTTTACAAATTGATTTGATTATCAATACAATTTTGTTAAGTTGAATTTGAGACGTTTATCGGTATTCAATAAATTTAACTTTTAGGACTTAAAAAGGGAAAAGTTTAAGAAAAAAAAGTTGTGATAAAGTTAAGTAAAGGATAAAAAAAAAATAAATTGGAGGTATTATTATTGATTTACGATTATAGATTTAAAAAGTTTTATAATGTGTTTGAAGTATTTTGGACACATTATATTCTAAATAAGTTTTAAAAATTTTGCCTCTCCATAGAATTCACATAACTCACGTTTCATCTTTCCTAAGCTCCAAATGCCAAAGTAATATTATTCAAATCGGTTTCTATATGTGATAAATTTTGGATTACCTATGATCTATATGATCCAGGATTATCTAAAAATATTGCTATATCCTCAACATTTCTTTATAATTTTTAAAATATTTATTATTTAAATTTACAAAAAAGTTTTGTCACAATCAAAAAAATGCTCAAATTCATAAAAAATTGCGATATTATTTCTTTGTTGCTACTTTGAACTAAAATATAAAACATGAAATATGTCAGAATATAGCACATATACTTTTTATGAATCGTATAAAATTTATGATTTTTGATGACTCATTTAGCAAAGTCCGCATGCGATAAGTTATTCTATGTTCATCAAAAACCTAGATTCATTTAAATTCTCCTGCAAAGTATCCCCGGCGCTACAGGCAAGGATGATACAGTAATATAGCTAGCTATAATATAGCAATGTATATATGTTGCAATAGTCAAGCCAGTATGGCGTACAGCCGCAAAGATGAAAGCAGCGTGCATAATTGAATTACTGTTGCAGTCAGCTCAAAATTGATTTCGTTTTACTCGCCTTTTTGTATCAATTTCTTGAATCGTAACTTATTATTAAAATATAATCTTATTAAAATTATGTGTATGTAAAATTATTCAATACTTCCAGTATGACAAGACTTTTTGGAGAAATCTATAATGTAAAAATGAATCGCAAAATATGTTGGTAAGCGCATAACTCAACAACGTCTAGAATAATTTGGCCAATTCTTTTTTTTAATGTTCGTTAAAGTCCAAGGATGGTTTTTACGGCGAGAAAAATTCAAATAATTGCCGGGAAAACCCTAAAAACAGTCTTTTTCTATAGGATAAAAGTTGACATTGAGATTCAATCATAGTTATAGTTAAATAGTTGAATCCTAGATGGCGCGCTGAAGGGCATTATTAGCTATTTATTATATAATTAATTTCTTTAAAATAAAATTGCAAATCTTATTGATAGAATTGACACATACTATGTCAAGAACAAGAAAGGAAAAACAAATAACATTTATATTAAACACTCGCGGGACAAAAGCTAGTTTTTCATAAAAACGTGTCATGAATTTCTAAAACAGAGGGAAAAATTTTAGAAAGTTTTGTTTCCTCTGAAGTCCAACAAACTCTATAACCTCACTTTAACAAATGATACGAGTAGGTATTGATCCATACCAAACAATGTGTTTTAACGTAACATTTAAATTTTACAACTCTAATATAACCTCAAACACATAACTTAAATTGAACGTAGTATATCCCTAATGACATGCACAGTTGGTTGTCTACTTATATAACCCGTTAAATATTGATACCTACGCAAGTTTATTTCCTTTATACGACACTACTGCGCATTCAAACTTTCCACTTTAAAAATAACTTTGAAAGCTCTCCTAACACCTCTGTTAAAAGTTGTAAAAGTAAACAATACAAATATTTGCAGAACTTGTTAAAACTTAAACATAGTTCTAAACGCAGATATCTCCGCTTGAGATTGGATTATTTTCTATTGCACTTATGCAAAAACATATTGAACATTTTAAAAAAGTGCTGTGGTGGCGGTAGTGGTAGTTACTGGCTGGTGGTTTTCGCTGGCGCTGAAAATTTTTCTATTAAAACTTGTAAATAAGTTGATGCGTGTATGCCGTTCAATTTGCGCAGATTTGCTTTCCTTGAACCAAACCGGCCAAAAATAGCTGAATATCAAAAATCATTTCGGGCAAACACTAGAGTTAAAAGTTATATAACTTTAATCATAAATCTAAGATAATATGTATTATAAATACATAAATGTGTTAATTAGTATGTTTGTTTCGCTTTGATGCAAAAATCACGCAACCAATTTTGATAAATTTTTGTATAAAGATATTTTTGACCTTGAAAAATGATATAAGCTACTTTTTGTCATTAATATTTAACGAAAAGGGTGTAAAATACAGAATAAAAGTAAATACATATAAAGATTGAAGTTATAGTTATATAATTCACACCGAGATGACGTTAAAGTGTATTATAAGCATTTCTTCTTTCTTTAAAATACAATACAAAATCAGTTTCATAGAAAAATTGTGAACATGTTTGTTTGTTACTCTTTCACCCAAAAACCACTCATCAGATTCTGATATATTTTTGTATAAAGACATTTTTGATATTGATAAATAAAATAGACTATTTTATATTTCAAAAATATATCTTGAAAGGGGATAAATAAGGGTCAAAAGGTAACATTATATTTAAAGTTATATACTTCAACCGAAATGGCGTTAAAAAGCATTATTAGTACTTCTATATTTAAAATAAATAAAATTGAGAAGATTATTGTAAGATTTGGCATATATTTTCTCTAAAAGGCAAAAAAATAATTAGTTAAGCTTTTTTTTCTTTAAACCTACGAAGACAAAAGTTAATACGAGTATTGAAATATACCTAACGGGCTCTTTAGATTTTTCCCTACGTATGTTTCAATTTTTATTGCCTCATATTGGTTTTGTTCCAGGAGCCTCGGCCATAACTCAATCACGTCGATCGACCCCGATACGTTCCGGAGCCTGGACCAACTGATTGAATTGTAAGTCCTTGAAGTTCCTGCCAACCTCTGAATACCCCACGAAATCCCCAAACAAGAAAGAAAGTATTTTCTTTTCGACATAATTACAGCAACCACAAAAAAAAATACATACGAATACATATAGCTACTTTAAAGATAAACTTTTCAATTTATAAAACTACTTCACTTACAACTTAAAACATTGAAATGAAGATGGCACAAGTTTCAAAATACAATTAAATTTTAATTTTCAGAGACTTGACAAATAATAACATCGAAAAGCTCAACGCAGAGTGGTTCAGCACGTTGTACAACTTGACAACACTGTAAGTACTCTTGAAACATCCTTGAGGATAACATATTATTTTACATTGAAGTTAAAATTAATATTTTGTTAATTTTTGATAGGAATCTGCAAGGAAATAGATTAACGCGCATTGAAATTTTGTCCTGGTTAACATCTTCGTCCTTAAAAGTAAAACCAACTGTGATTAGCAATGTTATTACTGATCAAAGTATTCTTAACCCGGAAAATATAAGTGTTAAAATAAATAATCAAAATTTAACACAAGTTAATCCTATTGAATTAAAATTTAAACAAAATGGAAACATGAATAATATAGATAATAATTTAATAAATGTTGATAATGATCAGAATAAAGTAAAAAGTGAAAAAAACAATCTGGAAATGGAAATGAAAATGGAAGCGCCTCCGCAAGGATTATCTAAGTTGACTACATTATCCTTGGCTAATAATTGGATATTTTGGCTGCAGGACGACGTTTTTGCTGAAGCACCAATGTCTCGCTCTCTGAAAAATCTGTGAGTTAAATAATTAATCTTTGTGTTTATTTAAAATTAATGTTGTTTTATTATGTTTTAACTGTCAATCAGTCAAATCTGTCAACATCATTTTAAATTATATTTTATATTGATTTAAAAAGAACATAAAATGCAGTTAAACGCCATCTAGATTCAAATTATATAACTATAATTAAGATTCAATCATAATATCTATTATTGCTATTTTTACACCTTTAAAGTTAAATTTATGGAACAAAAAGTAGTCTATATTATTTTCCTTGGTCTAAACTATTTTTATACCAAAATTTATAAAAATTGGTTAAATGGTTTTTGCGTGAAAGCGTCACAAACATACAACAAAATTTCCAAATGCATTTATAATACGTATTACTTAAAATATATAATATAATATAATTTGTGCTTTCAATGTTTTAATGTTTTAATGTTTTAATGTTTATTGTAATAAATGTTTTAATATCTAAATGTTGTCATTTATTATTTTCTCATAATTTTTTGCTAACCATATTGTATACTCTGTTATTTTTACATCGTCACCGCCTTGATCCCGTTTACTTTGCGCTTTTGCTTGTTTCTATCCCAACATCTTAAGCAACGCCCTTCTTTAACCTACACATCACATACATATTCATATTCGTATTCATATTCATACTTTGGGACGGCTAGGACGATCCAATGTCGGGCGCGTCAAGCGCTCTATCATGTCGGGTCTTATTATCCTTTTCAATGTCGCCGACAACTCCGAATTTGATATGATGCGTAATTGCGTGACCCGAATTACTAATGAGTAATTATTGTTATTAATAATAGTTAGTTGTATTTAAGTTTTATTAGCGTTTCGTTATTCAATTAATAACTAATTCTTGTTTTGGTTATATGATTAATTATCTGATATGCAAGTAATTTAATACATAATATAAAATAAATTCTAATAGTACATTAAGAATCAAGTACGCAAAGTGAAAAATTAACAACGGGTTTTTGTATTTTAAAATTTTGAACTTTGTTTGCATACTTTTGTTAAATGTAAGATTATAAATACATAGAAATCCAGCCCGTGACTAAAAACTGTGACTAAAGTACTTCTGTCATGGCTTTGCTTGTCCGTACTAAAAATACAATTTTTGTGACTTAAAACCGTGGAAAATTTGGCGTTTTAAATGTGAAAATAGTTTAAACTTGTTTTATAAAATTGGGTTCTATTAACAAATTTGCAAAAAGATCAAACCGAAATTTATATCCAGAAAATTAGTTTATAACTAAATAATTTACTAATAATTTTTTATAATAAAAAATGTCAAAAATGTAAAAATTAAATTCCTCAGTTTTTTATAGCGAACAATTGTTTTTACAAAAAAGTAGTCAAACAAAAATGCATTTTTATCGAAAATTAATTTAGCTATTTGTTCTTTCTGTATTTAAAAAGTATAAGAGTTGGTATTTATAAGGCATATTTGTGGGATTTTTAAAATTCCTCTCAAACGGCCCTCAAAACGCTAACAAAATAAAGAATATATTTTTTAAATTATTAAAAAGTCAATGAAGGTAAAAATAACTTTTCATATTGATCACATTAACACCATTTCCGCAATTTTACCCAGAAATATATTTCTATATCAATATTTTGGCAACTAATAACACATAATTATAATATTTAAATATTTATATATTATATTACATTTATAAAATTTTAATCTCAGTCAATTAATTTGTCTAAATACAGAAATTGGGTTTTGTGCAAATAAATGAGAAAACATTTTACTGCGCACAATTTCCAAATAAATCATTCGTAATTTATGCGAATTGTAATTTATTTAGTTGTTACATTTGGTCAGGCAAACATTAATCAGGACAACATTCACATTGAAGTAAATACATCAATTAATTAAATTCGTTAAAATTGATAGATATCGTGACCAGTGCATTAAATTAATCAAACGCAAAGTGAAATGACATTAATTATTTGGCATATGCTCAAGTAAATAGTGATTATTGTTTGATTTACGCGGTAACTTTATTAATACAATAATTTTTGTTTTTATTTGCATTATAAGTATTATGTGGATGCGCCGGGAAACAAATAAAAATATTTCAAGTTTAGAGTTAAAACAAATAGTAAAGTGAAACTGTATAAAACAAAATAAATTTCGTAAAACACGCAAAACGGAATTTGTTTAAATGTTTCATTCATCGATTAATTATACTTGTTAAATTTGATAGATACCAAAGTACACAAATTAAATTAATCTGGCACAAAGTGAAATAACATTATTTACTTTAGATACGTATAAACAGTAAATATTAATTTATTTATTAATTTAATTCATTTAAATTTATAAACAATTTTCTCAGTTTTGTTTCTCATTTAAAGTATTATGTGGAGGTGCCGGGAAAACACATGAAATACTTCAAATAAATTAAATAATTTTTATTATTAGTATATTATACATTTTCAGACTTAGTATATATAAACTTGATTAAATATAAATAATGACTATAAAATGTTATAAACAATTTTTAAAAATTATTAATTTTTTTTTTAATTTAAATGTTCAAACTAAAAGGAAATGTGTAAATTACACAAAACAAAATTTCCTCAGTTCTTGCATTTGGTAATGCAAATAATAATAAGGAAAATTAATACATATTGCAATTAATATTTCAAATAATTAAATTTGATAAATTTGATAATTGCAACAACATAAACTGTAATTATTTATAATTTTGTGCATTAAATTTATTGTGAAACACGTTTGTCATATTTTACATTATAAGTATAATGTGGATGCGCCGGGCAACACAATGAATACACAAAAAAACTTAGTTTAGAGTAAAAACAAAATAATAACAATAAAATGTAATGAAAGTGGTATAACATGTTTAAAATTCCCTTTTATGGTATTATATTCAAAGTTAAATCGAAAAAAAGCTCAAAGCGCATAAAACGGAATAAAATGCATTTAATACTGCTAACAAGCACAAGAATGTAATTAAAATGTGTCACAGTCACATATTTACCTCTTTACTTTTTATTATCATCACATTTAACAAAAAAAATTAAGTTTTAAAAAAAGTCTAACTCAAAATTTGCATAATTTATATCTTCATCTTCTTTTGTTTTCATGTTCCATTGTAATCCAGACTTGTTTACCACACTCACCAGTTTTTTTTTTCATTTTCGCTCTTTTGTCCTATGCTTAATGTAATCCGACTGATCGATGTTGTCGCTGGGCACAAAAAGCCAATTCATATAATGAATGTTTTCTGGTCGTGCTCTCTGTGGCTTTCGCTTTTAGTTCTCCGCTTTTCAAATAGCAGTGAAAACGACGAGCTGGAGGCTGCGCCTGGATACGAATTGAAATCGTGTGAATCATGCCAATCGGCATCCTTTCAAAAGTAATGTCAGGCAAAATCAACTGCAGTCAGTTTCCAATCAGATTTCCTGCCAAATAGAATAAATGCGACGAATACGAAAATACTACGAATTTACTTTTCGATTTCGGTGTAAATTATTCTACGAACTTGTTCAAATTGCCAATACTGCTAAAAGTGGAAACTTGAATTCGCAATGTGCACTTGGAAATAGATTACAAATTTAGATTTTCGTTTGATGCACGCTAAACTTGAAAGTTTAACCAGTTTGAGTTTAAATTAAAAACTAGTGAAGTCTTTGTACGGTTATGCAACATATGTTTCTGTTTCACATGTAGGCAACCAAATACACACTAAAAATCGTGCAAATATGACTTCTTAATTTGCTTTAAGTAAAAAAAGTCAAAAAGTCTGTTTGTATAAATCTGTTTTTACAAGGTTTTTATACGAAATCATTAATAATTCTTTTTTGCAGAGATCTTTCTGAAAACCGTATTTCCACTCTGTCGAACAGAACTTTTAAAGGACTCTCCACTCTTTTTGTACTGTAAGTAATCCCACATCACTCAAAATGTAATTAAAACTCGTAAAATCATTAAATTAACAGACAAAATAATGCAAAACCGGTTATATCCTTATTTAAAGTTAAATACAAATATATGCAACTAAAATTACTACAACGAAATAAAAAAACAACAACGATTTCGATTAAGAATTTAATTATAAACTCAATAACAAAATTTTGCGAACGTTCGCGAACCATTACGAGCACGCCAGCGTACTTGAAAGCTCAATAATGTTCGAGAACGTTTTCCACGAAACAAAGACTAAGTTAATTAAACAATCTGTCTTTGAGTAGTATTTACATGGCATATTTACACAACAAATTCAAACTATACCAACACTTACGTTAATTAATTGTTGCAGCAAGCTGAATCAAAATAATTTGCAACACATTCATGAGGATGCGTTTGTGTGGATGCCAAATGTTACCTCACTGTAAGTATAATATAGTGTAAACATAATCATAATAATTAATTAATTAATTGTAGAGATTTAAAAAACAATGAGTATCTTGTTGTCACACCCGGGATATTTTCACCATTGGAACAGTTACATCATTTGTAAGTATACTTCAACTATATGCAACCAATTATACACTAAAAATTTCATACAAAATTTTAGTGTTAATAAAATTGCCTATGTTATATTTTCAGATACTTTGATTCGTTTGAAATGTGTGCAAATGCTCCGTTTGTGAAAGTATGTGAACCCAAAGGTGATGGTATCTCATCAAAAGAACATTTATTAGACAGTGTTATTTTACGTGCAAGGTAATATCACTATATGCAACCATATATACACCGAAAACATTAATAAATCATTATTTAGTGTATGGATTATGGCCGCTATAGGATTTGTTGGCAATTCCATCGTCCTTTTAGGCCGACAATTTGTAACCCGACACTCAAACGCTGTCGATTCATTACATATAAAAAACCTGGCAATTTCTGATCTTTTGATGTCATTGTATTTATTCGCTATTGCATCAGTGGACGAATACTATCGCGGTGAATATCTCCTCAATGAATTCTCATGGCGCAGCAGTAATCTGTGCACTTTGAGCGGAATTCTCAACACGTTGAGTTGTGAATCAAGCGTGTTGATACTAAGCCTAGTCACGTGGGATCGTTATGTGTCGGTAACACGTCCATTTCCCCGCAACCAACTCAGTTTTAAATTCGCTGCTCTCCGCTTGGTGACGCTGTGGGCTATCGCTGCCTTGATAGCACTACTTCCGATCATGAATACAACTCAAGACTATTTTGGTTTTGAGTTTTACAATTCCAACGGTGTATGTCTTCCGTTATACTTACATAACCCATATGGAAAGGTATTATTTACAACTAACGCCATCTACTGGTGAATTAATATTAATTATTTCCAGGGATGGCAATATTCAATTGTAATGTTTGTTTTTATTAATTTATCTGCGCTAGCATTCATTTGCTATGCTTATCTGCGAATGATAAAAGCCATTCGTGTATCAACAGTTGCCTGTCGATCAACGCAACAAACACAGGATCGAGATAGAGTTGCACAACATCTTGGAATAATTGTATTCACAGATTGTTTGTGTTGGGTGCCAGTGATAGTCATCAAAATGGCGACGTTAGCAGGTAAATAAATAAAACATTTGTTTAATATAATTTATTAATAATTATTATTCATAGGTTTAGAATTTAACCAAACTTATCGTAACTTTGTGTATGCTTCACTGGCGATTTACGTAATGCCAATAAATTCAGCGTTGAATCCGATTCTGTATACGTTTGCCACGCCGCTGTTTAAGAAACAAATCCGTAAGATGGCGCATGTGTGCTGTCAAAAACAAAAACGTCCCGAAGGGCAATCTGGATATGACACAGCGCTGAGTTTAAGCTTAGGAATGTTAGGCTCAAATGGCAGAAGAGTGTTAACATACAGGGTGAGTCAAAAAATTAATTTTAAAAAAAAAAATTTAAAAACTTTAAAAATTTAAAAAATTGTTTTAGAGTACACAAACAAGTCACACCGGAAGTAAAAATAGTTGGCGAAAACAACCGCAAGCTGTATGACACACAGCCACGTTCGATGAGAGAGAAAGCACTGAACTATAAACCAACTTAAATCAATGTCAATCAAGCATCGAATTTATAAAGAAATAACTGTGTATAATTGTTAGTATTTATGTGTGTATAAAAATAACTAGTTCGTAATCTAAGTGTAAACTTTGAACATTCTGTATGTAACAATATGTAACAGTAAAATAATTCTTTCCATTGTTTTCGGTATTATTTTGACACTCATTGAATTACATTTAAATGGTCCAATATACAGGGTGTTGATAATTCGATATAATTTTTTTGATATAGAATTTAATAACCGTAGAGGTCTTCGTCTTCTTCATCGCCGCTTTCGTCATTTCCAGGCTCGCCAAGCGCGTTTACAAATTCTAAATATGAAAAAAATCAATAAACACGGTGAATTATTAATGAGTGGTTAATTACAAACCATAGAAATCAATGCGGCCATCACCATCCACGTCAACTTCTTTTATCATGTCTTCAACTGTATAAAAATGATATTAATTTATGTTTTGATGACTTTTTTGTGTTTTTACTTACTTTCTTCTTCGGATAAATCTTCGCCGAGACATTGCAGCACTGCGCGCAGGTCAGATGCGGTTATGAATCCGCGATTATGTTTATCGAATACACGGAATGCGTCTCGGAGCTCTTTGTCTTCTTGTTCACGTGAGTAGACTTCTGTGTCTGCTCCAGCTCCAGCAGAGAATGCAATGTCGACGAATTCTTCGAAGGATACATTTCCATCGCCTGGAATATAAGTATTATTGCTGTTATTTTAACTATTTTTGACAAACTCTGCTTGATAAGCATGATAAGTTGCCCAGAGAAGATTAAATTCTTGTTTTGTTTTTATTTTACTTGCAATTTTCCTCCTTTCACATTTGTAAGTATGCTTCAACTATATGCAACCAATTATACACCAAAACTTAATATAAAATTTTAGTATAATTAAAGTTGCCTATAATAAATCCAAAAATCTTTTTAACTTTCTTTAGCATTTTACGAACAAAAAAGTAACGGAATATTGATATTTACACGAATCGGCAATATTAAAATATTTAATAAAATACAAATAATTACCATCCGCGTCAACTTCCTGTAACATCTGTTGTAATTCCTCGGTGCGTGCGAATTGTCCCAACGAACGCATGACTCGTCCCAGTTCTTCCTTAGTAATGCTGCCGTCACCATCCTTGTCGAAAAGTCGAAACGCTTCGCGGAATTCTTTCATCTGACGCTTGGAGACATTTGGGCGTCGAGATAGCATCGCGGGTGGTTTTTTATTTTTCGGTGTGGCACACTCAACATCGTCCATCATATCTTGCGCATCGGGATAATCATTCGCTCCCGATGGTCGATTCTAAGTTATTGTTGAAATATTGATTACTTGTTTAAATACTTGATGAATGTGATAGTTACCATGAGATCTTTGATCTGGTTGACAAATTGCGATTGGTTGAGAAAGTTGTTCACCGCTGAAAACAGTTTGTTGTCCATATTTTATGTTGTGATGTCGTTGGAGATCAGGAATGATAATCAATGTTGGGTGTTATAGGGTGTAATGCTGGATCCTGACTGTGGAAGGATGGAAGGATAAGGGGATGCGATGATGATTACGAGAGGACGATACTCGCGCCGCACTGCGGTCGTTAGCGGAAGCACAATATGATATCAAGCAGAAACCTGCTGTTTAAAGGGTGGATCAATATCGTATAAATATATTATATTTGCTTTGTTGTCACATCATGAGTAAATTAAAACCAATTTTTATTTGTTAAATATACGAATGACAACTCTATAGATTTCAATACATATTTCATATTTTGTGCAATATCATGATTTATAAATCGTTTGCAACTACATCTATTGACAAAACCAAAAACTTTCATGTGTCAAAAACTAAAAATAACGATTGAAGCGCCTCAACCGGATAATTTTCCAAACACATTTTGACATCACGTCTTAATACGTTCCTGCATCAGGTCCTAACTTCTTTTAATCGTCACGTAATATTCTAATGCACAGCATAAATTTAATTTAATTAACCATACAATCCTCAACAATATATTTCAAGCCCGATATACACAACACAGTAAGGTAATTTGAAATGAATAGCGCTGATATTCCTCTTGAGAGAGTGTTGACGTAACAGTATTATCCGATTCTAATTGACAGCTACCTTTTAAAACACTATCACATTGATTCATGCTTTGGTCATAAAATTTAATCACATAACGATATTGTTTAGCAATATTGACATCATCGCAGTTAATTAATTGCACCGCAAATGAATTTCCATATATTGGAATCGATAGAAACCGAAATAATTGCTCATCGTACTTACAATAAGCGGTCACTAATCGGTTTGATATTATCGTATAGTTGTCCATAATGAATTTGTTGACGTAAATATGTTGCTTTTTCTGCAAATGTTGAATTAAAGCGTTCGTTGGTATAGATTCTTTGCATTCTGGACACACTGTTGGACGATATCTGCATACTTTCAAATGTGGTGCACTCAAGTCATTCAATGAGCTGATGATTTGATCACAACCCACATCTGCATATGGACATAACATATGCGGCTGCATTACCTTAACACTATTGGTTAAAGTATTGCAGACTACACAGGTGTCCATCTTGGATGAACAATTTATACATACAGAATGTCCATTTCCACATAATTTAATTATGGAAGTCAACTCAAGCATGCAAATTGAACAGTTTAAAGTTGAGAGAACTTTATTAAAAGTAACAATCAACTTCAGCTTTTCTTTTGTACCTTTCACTGTGTTCATTGGGATTGAAACATGTGATGTACCAACATCACCCAATTGCTTCACTTGTATAATTGATCCTATATGTTTATCCGACACACATTCGTTAGCCGTCCGTATGTGAATCTCAGTTTTGTTTGTTGAATCATGTTTATCATCATTTGGTACTTTTGCAACCCAGCATAACATACTATGCGCAGTACACTTAATTTGTACAAGGAATTCAATTGATTTATATTCCGCAATAACAACTTTTTCAAAAGTCTGTGCTTTGTCTATTTCAAGCTGCACCAGAGGAGAATTAATTTTAATCTTTGCACAAATTGATGAATGAGTTGACAACAAATGATCAACATATCTAGCGTCCGTCATAAATTTGCAATCGCACAAGTTGCAGTTGAATTGCATATATTGACATTGCTGTTCATGCTTGCGCAACTCTTCCGGTTTTAACCACTGAAAACAATCTTTGTGCTTGCAGGGATACTTGCAATTCCGAATCAGGGTTTGCAGAACGTAGTTTTCTATTCCTCCTTCTTTAGTTGCGTTGCAGGTATTGCAGTAATGTTTTTTGTCGGGATGTAAAAACAAAGGCGGAAGCAACCAATCTTTGCAATTGTTACAACACAACCATGTATCGTTCCAGTGAATTTTGTTGGTTATTTTAAACATTTCCAATGTTGCCCAATGCATTTTCAGTTGGAATTATTTTAAACTGCGTTAGTTGAACGAATTAATTAATATAATAAGTTATATCTTTGATCTTAGCTTAATAGCAGAACTTTTTATGTTTTATTAAATTTTCTTTATTTTAAATGTTTAATAGCGATGAAAATGCAAAATCAACTGATGGTATTAATTGTTGTTTATTACTAGATATCTAACTCCCACTATGAAAGACCATGACATTCATCCTTGATTGTGATTCTGATAATTCAAATCGATTCTTTTGCATACACGCGACAACTTGTTAGAATTTATAATTCCGGATTTTCCGAATAGTTGGACATTAGTCACTGTTTGAAATTCCAAGAAGAAAACCATGGCTGAGTAGATTTACCATTATTTCCACTAGGGAATTCCATTATCATTGCACAATATCTATGTATTAATCTATAATCTATATATATATAAAAGAAAGTCGTGTTGGTTAACTCCTTTATAACTAAAGAACGGCTAATTCAATTTAGCTAAAAATTGGTGGAGAGGTAGCTTAGGGCCAGGAGATGGTAATAGGATACTTTTTGAAGTGAAAACTTTTCTAAAAGGGCACTAAACGACACTAAAAAGAGACAAACATATTTGCGTATATGGATTATCTTGCGGGAGAATAAGAGAACGCAAATACAAAGTTTTCTATTATCCCCGTCTCCCTTTGTGCGATGCTTCGTAGCATAGACGTGTGTATGTGTGTACGTGTGGGTTGAAATTGACCGGTTGATGTTTTTGTTTGGAGAAGGTTACTAGGATACTTTTTGAAGTGAAAACTTTTTTAGAGAACACTAAACGACACTAAAAGGAAACAAACATATTCGCTTATATGGTTTAACCTACGGGAGAAAAAGAGCACACAAATATAATGTTTTCCATTATCTCCGTCTGCCCTTTGTGCAATTCATAGCTTCCCCCTAAGCATAGACGTGTGTATGTGTGTACGTGTTGATTGAAGTTGCCCGGTTGATGTGTTTGTTTGAATAGGACATGGTAAGTGTAGGATACTTTTTTTAATACTTTTTGAAGTGAAAACTTTTTTGGAAGATACTAAACGAGTTTTCTCCGTCTCTTCTTTGTGCGATGCTTCGTAGCTTCCCATGCAGCGACCAAAACGATCAAATCTTATCCGACAAAACCGTAATTCAACTAGGATTCAAAGGATTGCGAATGAAAGGACTGAAGAAGAACAAGAAATTGCACGTGAAAAGCGAGGCAGAACAAAGTTTGCCGGGTCAGCTAGTCTACTATATAAACATAAGTCTGACGCTATAACTCCAGAACGCACGAACCGATTTCCACGGTTTTGCATTCGTTGGAAAGGTCTCGGGCTCAGAGAGGTTTATAGCAAAGAAAATTGAGGAAAAATTTCAACAGAAAAGCGGGAAAATCTTTTTTAAAATAAAGAGCTATATCTGATAAATAGCATGTGCGTGATACATTGTTTAACAGCTACTCATTTTTTTCTGTCATTTTTTTCTGATAAGTTAATTTCATGTTACAAAAAAATTATCCAACGGAGGTTTTGAACTCTCTGGAGTTACAAGGATTTCCACCACATAACTTACAACTCAAAGTTGGTACAGTTATTATGATATTGCGAAATTTGAATCCACCGCGACTATGCAACGGTATTCGACTAAAAAGACATGCCGAATTTGATTGAGGCGCAACCATTATTAACGGAAAGTACGCAGGTGAAAATGTATGTATTCCTCGAATACCAATGATTCCGACTGATCTTCCGTTTGACTTCAAACGATTGCAATTTCCAGTTCGCCTTGCGTTCGCCATGACAATTAACAAGTCGCAATGCCAATCGCTTAGTGAAAATCATTGTTTTTCACACGGGCAGTTATATGTTGCGTGTTCACGAGTTGGGAAACCATCCGCATTGTTTGTGTTAACGTCAGAACAAAAAATTAAAAATGTGGTGTACCAAAGAGCACAAATGGAGAATTTGCGGACACGTATAACATTTCGATTCAGTATTTACTTTGGATTCACTTTCATTTACTTACAGAATTTACTTAGAGAAGTTCAACTAAATAACACTTCATTTTTGTAATTGAAATTGATTCATTACTGTTGTCAAATAAAATTAAATTTTTCGTTTTCAAATATAAAACAAAAAAAATTATCTTCATCTTTTGATCACCAAAAGAAATGTTACACAAAACAAAGCCATTTGGTTGCGAAACGGAGTTCGCCGAGTTTGCTAGTCTATAATATAAAAATGAATCGTAAAATTTGTTGGTAAGCGCATAACTCAACAATGCCTAGACCAAATTGGCCCAATTCTTTTTAAAGTGTTTGTTAAAGTTTAAGGATGGCTTTTTGGTAAGAAAAATTCGAAAAATTGCCAGGAAAACCCTAAAGACAGCCCTTTTCTATAGAATAAAAGCTGGCATTAAGATTCAATCACAGTTATAGTTGAATAATTGAGTCCGAGATGGCGCGCTACAGTGCATTAGGTTATTAGGCATACCATGTGCAAAAAAATATTCAATTCACTGAAAACTAAGTTAAGAAATTATTTATTTGTGAGAGGACAGAACGTGCGTCGGAACAGCTAATATTGATATAAGTAATTCTTTTAATAGTTTCTCATATAAAACCAGTCAAAATCAATCATTATTATGAGTATTTGTCAAGGAATGCAGTGCAGCACTTCAGACACTTTTCATAGCACTCTTCAAACCCTTTTGATCCACTGTCCTGCAGAGACACAAGAACGTAGTTTATATTTTAATATTATCATTAAACAATTATTTGAGCAATGAAAGCTTACATAATATGGATCCCTGATTGTCACATCATCCTCAGGACACATCTCACCCAACAGCATGATTTTGGCTTTGGGATTCTTCACTCTTCTAGCTTCTTCCTCCAGGTCTTGCTGGTTGTGTTCATCCATACCAAAAATATAATCATACTCTATAAAATCATCTCTATGTACCTAAAATCTTCAATTTAGTTAAACCATAAAGAGTTTAAAAGTAATATTTTACTTGTCGAGCAGTGTTATTGTAAGGAATATTGTGTTTCTTCAATGTACTTAAAGCTCTTTTATCAGGAAGAGATCCTGTATGCCAAGAACCAGTGGCAGCTGAATCAGCAATCCATTTATCTTCAAGTTTTCTTTGCTTCACAAGATGAAGAAAAACTGCTTCAGCAATTGGACTTCTGCAGATATTACCTTAAGAATACAAAATAAACATTTCAAACCTTCTATTAAACCTTCATTTTACACAAGGCATACCTAAACATACAAAGAGGACACGTTTCGGTTCAGTCATCTTGCAAAAAATAATAGATTTTGAATGTGGAATGTCTAAAAGTAGTAAAAGTAACAAATGTAAATATTAAATTGTGGTTATATGTAGATAAAAGTTACAATATCTTCAATCTAAGATTATCGTATCTATTTAGTTTTATATTCTATGACGATGTAATGTTTTATCACATACTTATAAATTACGCACGTTTTTCACTCGATTTCACGCTGATTCGCCCTTGGACCCCGGTTTAAGATGCGCTTAGTCAGTTTAGTGTAATTTGTGTAGTGAGTGTGAGTCTAATGTTCACATCATTCACACTTGCTCACTAGCCTATAAACTAGAAAGTTTGATTTTAAACTATTTATTACTATAAGTTATGAGTTTGTAATCAGTCAATTAAAATGCTTAGAAAATTACCTCTTCTGTGTGCAAACCTGAAAGAAATTAACAAGGTATCAACATGTTTCGCAAGCAGTGCAGCATGTGAAGTACGAATTCCTGTACCATGGGGCCACATTGCAGGCAAGTGGTGGGGCCCCAAGGATAAAGCACCTATTTTCACCTTTCATGGGTGGCAGGTAATGAGTAAATCATATAAATTTTAAAAATCTTATTCTAATTTGATTTATTTTAGGATAACTGTGGATCGTTTGACCTACTAATGCCAATTCTCCCAAAACATCTAAGTTTCCTCACTGTGGACTTTCCAGGCCATGGATTCAGCTCCAAAATACCTCCTGGTCTTTTCTATCACAATTTAAATGGAGTGATGCTTATAAGACGCCTGCAAACTTATTTTAACTTAGAAAAAGTCAGTCTCATGGGTCATTCACTTGGTGCAATCACAAGTTACACCTATGGTGGATTCTACCCACAATCAGTTAATTTTGTTATATGTATTGATGGCCTCAGTCCACTTATTAATCCAAAGCGTTTGGACAGAGTGACTGAAAGTATTGATGCATTTCTAAAATATGATCAACAAGTTGTTAACAATTTGTCTGGCAAAGTAGAACCACCAGCTTATTCAATGGAAACTATGATTGAGATGATGCACAAAGGAACCCGAGGATCGGTAGATAAAGATAAATGCAAGTACATTATCACACGGAATATCAAAGAGTCGAAATTAAAACCGGGATTGTTTTATTTCGATCGTGATCCGAGACTTAAGTCAGGCCCGCTGATGAATTGGCCAATGGAGGATTTGCTGGAGCATGCAAACCGAATTAATTTTCCCATCTTGGCGACCAAGGCGGAATCGTCGCCGGTGTTGAGCAATCATGGCATTATTAAAACTGTTAGGGAGATTATTTCGAAACAGAATCCAACAGCTGAGTTCCTTGCTGTGGCAGGGAAACATCATGGGCATTTGAACACGCCGGAGATTTTTGCAGATATTATACCGAAATTTATTGCCAAATATGAAAACACGCAGAAAGACATGGACCTAAAGTACTTTGAAGCTATTAAACATGTTGAGTAATTATTTATTGTGAGATTAATAAAGATAAATTGTTGTTACATATCTTTGACATGAAGTATAGTTAACATTCGTCTTGATTCGAGTATTTTCGTCATTCGGCCAATATACTTAAGTGTGAGTGAGTCTAATGTTCAGTTTCTCTACTTATCTTAACAAACTTACAAGTTTTTTCATGAACAGGTCCTTGAATGTTAATAAAACTATGTTTAAAAAATTAGGCAACTCAAGTTTTAAATATTTTGCAACTAATGCATCAAAAACAGAAGCTCAAGGTGTCGAAGTAAGAATTCCAGTGCCATGGGGCCACCTTGCTGGCAAATGGTGGGGCCCTAAGGACAGAACACCAATTTTAACCTTACATGGATGGCAGGTCATTAATTGTTGAATTACATACATTTTGTTTAATTTACAATGACTATTTGTAGGATAACTGTGGATCTTTCAACGCATTAATCGAACTTCTGCCAAAACATTTAAGTTTTCTCGCAATAGACTTCCCAGGTCATGGATTCAGCTCAAAACTGCCACCAGGGTTTTTCTATCACCATTTAAATGCTGTGATTCTTGTAAGACGTCTGCAATCGTTTTTTAACTTGGACAAAATCAGTCTAATGGGTCATTCTCTTGGAGCAATCACAAGTTATACCTATGGTGGACTATATCCTCAATCAATAAACTTTGCTATTTGTATTGATGGCCTGCAATGTCCAATAAATCAAAAGAAATTAGGCAGAGTAATTGAAAGTCTCGATGGGTTCTTTAAATATGATGCACAAGTCAATAAGATTTTCTCTAACAAAGTGGAGCCACCTGCTTATTCAATTGATACTATGGTTGAAATGATGCACAAGGGAACAAGAGGATCTATTGATAAAGATAAATGCAAGTACATCATCACAAGGAATGTGAAAGAATCGAATTCCAAGCCGGGTTTATTTTATTTTGACCGTGATCCTAGAGTAAAGTCGGGCCCGTTTATGAATTGGCCGATGGATGAGATGTTGGAGCATGCACAGAGGATTAATTTTCCGATTTTGTCGACGATGGCAGAATCCTCTCATGTTATGAGAAATCATGGTGTTTTTGATATTGTGAAGGATCATATATTGAAAGTGAATTCTTTGGCAGAATTTCATGATATGAAAGGTACACATCATGGACATTTGAACAATCCGGAAAACTATGCTCCTATTATTTGGAAATTCATAGAGAAATATGATAAGGCAGAGAAAAAAATAGATCTGAAGTACTTTGAACAGATTAAATATGAGGAATGAATAATGTTAATTTCTTATTTTAATATAGCGATAAAGCTTGATAATGTGATATAAGTTGCCTATCTTAAAAACTAGAATTTAAGTACAAAACACGAGGCACGAAGTACAAAAATTGGTTGTAATATAAATAAAAACCTATAATACATAACAATCATATTTATTCAAATAACGAAGTATATCTATACTTTGTGATTCAAATGCAAATCAACAATAACAACTGTAAATTTCAAAAATTATAAATTATGAATTAATTCACTCACCCACTAGCGGTGGCGCTGTTATCCAAAGAAGGTTTGTGTCCCTGCTAACTGTCAAATTTTCATCTGCGATCGAAGTTCTCCCACATTTGTCGCTGTAGCTGATAAATCCAGCTCCTAGCAAGAAAATGAGTTTCCAAACGACGGTTTACAACGCGCTCTTCCGAAGAACTTCCACTTTTGCAGTGGTTGTCTGCGCGTCCGCTTTCCTCTTCGAACGAACATTTGAACTCGGCGCCGAGGAGTTCTTCAAGAGGCACAATAAAGGAGTAAGTTATATAACCTTCTCCAATGTCTGAGCATTTTCTATTTTGTTTTATATTGCAGAAACTCTTTGCAGATATGAAACGTGATGAATAAACATTAAGCACCCTAGGCAATTGAGCATCCAAAACATGTAGAAACTAATAAATTGTTATTTAAACACTAAATGTAAACCTAATCAAAGCATTTATTCATTTATTCTGTAACTTCCCAGGGTTTTTCTTCTCTGTGTTGATCCCAAGGTCTTGGTTTCTTGTATTGCTCAGGTTCCTGCAGGACTACACCACTATCTTGCAGTGCTTTCAGAAATAGAGCAACTTTACCCTCTTGATTATCAGGTACTATATCTGACCTGATCTCAGTTATACCAAACTCTAAGCATCTTTGGGCTAGCACTCTTCCAAGGTTGATATATGCTGAAGTATCATTATATCTGTAGAGTTGTTTCTTGATTGGCCATTCTTGACTTGAAGCTGATATAACCTGACCATTTTCAAAGTGTCTAATGCTTGCTTTGACATATCTGATGGAGGTTTCCAGTTCTAATCTATAAAATAATATTCAATTTATCATAAAATAAGGTTTTATATTATTATTACTTGTGCCAATAGTTGCGACCGGGTTTTTCCAGGTGATAACCTCCAGGTTTGTAAGCAATGCGTAATTTTTCCAAATTTCTTGGGTTTCGATTAGTTAAAATCGGTTTAATGTCTGCATTGGACACATTTGTACTTGTCGAGCGTATACTCTGAGGTAATTGTCGTGTAAATAACGAATATTTCGTTAAAAATGAAGACATGTTTGTTTTTAATCTTGAGGTTACAAGTTTTGCCTGATTTAAGTTGGTAGCAGTTTTAAAACCAAGTTTAGTCGTTAGTTATCGGCTCGGTTCGCTTTGTAACTATAATGGCTACCACCTGCAAGAATTTAAACTTAAAATTGAATTATTCAGTATAAAAATGCGTTATTTTTAAACAAATATTTTTCTAAATACTTAAAACATATTCAGTAAATAAGAATATATAAGTTTTGATAGAGTTTCTTGTTTTTAAAATAGACATTAAAGCGATTTAGTTGAAACTGACAGCAAAAAAAGGGCGCAGCTTGTCATGGTCTGTCAGTTGCGTTCAAGGTTGGGAGCGTGTATGTATACGCGGTGGTTATTCTATGTGTGAGTGGTTTTTGCATGCGCGAGTACGGCGCATGCCCCTATGTATGTGAGTGTGCGCGCGCTCGCGTCGTCGTAGGTGCCCGCCGCCGAGCAGCAGACGCGTCCATCGGCAACGAACGCTCAAAAAATAATCTCGAAATATCCGTGCGATCCAGGTGCATCGCAATCCGCCGCCAGTAGCTGCTTGCCGAGATGGCCGAGGCGGACAAGACGAACCTGAACATCGACAGTATTATCTCGCGATTGCTGGAAGGTAATGACGGCGAACGTAAGCCCGATCCGGTCGGTCGCGACGACTTGTCCTCCATGGCGGTCGTTTGTGTTTATATGAGTGTGTGTGTGTATGTGTACTGTGTGCGCAACTATGGAGATGATGTAGCAATGGATGCGTTAAAGTCCGTTTTGTGCTTGCAGTGCGCAGCGCCCGACCCGGGAAGAACGTCCAGCTCACCGAGAACGAGATTCGTGGTCTGTGCATCAAGTCCCGGGAAATCTTCCTCAGCCAACCGGTGCTGCTCGAATTGGAAGCGCCGTTGAAAATATGCGGTAAGTGCGGAAAACAATTACGAAATTTGCACGTATACACATATAAAACATACTAATTTTTTTTAGGTGATATTCACGGTCAGTATTATGACCTGCTGCGTCTGTTCGAGTACGGCGGTTTCCCACCCGAGTCGAATTATCTTTTCCTTGGAGATTATGTGGATCGCGGCAAGCAATCGTTGGAGACGATATGCCTGCTGCTAGCGTACAAAATCAAATATCCGGAGAACTTCTTCCTGCTGCGCGGCAACCATGAATGCGCGTCGATTAATCGCATCTACGGCTTTTACGATGAATGCAAACGGCGGTACAACATTAAGCTGTGGAAGACGTTCACGGATTGCTTTAATTGCCTACCGGTCGCCGCCATTGTCGACGAAAAAATCTTCTGCTGTCATGGCGGTAAGTGTATTCAATATATCACCTAATATCACATAATTTTTATTAATTAACTGTTTTTGTGTTGGTTAGGTTTAAGTCCTGATCTGCAGAGCATGGAACAGATCCGACGACTGATGCGGCCGACAGACGTGCCCGACCAAGGGTTGTTATGTGATCTGTTGTGGTCTGACCCCGATAAGGATACGATGGGCTGGGGCGAGAATGACCGCGGTGTGTCGTTCACATTCGGTGCGGAGGTTGTGGGCAAGTTCCTCACCAAGCACGACTTTGATCTGATTTGTCGCGCGCATCAAGTCGTTGAGGATGGCTACGAGTTCTTTGCCAAGCGACAACTTGTCACACTCTTCAGTGCGCCCAATTATTGTGGTACGTAATTATAAACACGGTTTTACTGTGATAAACTCTAATAAATATTTATATTTTAGGTGAATTTGACAATGCCGGGGCGATGATGTCCGTGGACGAAACACTGATGTGCAGCTTCCAGATCCTGAAGCCGGCCGACAAGCGAAAGTTTCAGTACGGCGGGCTGAATGCCGGCCGACCGGTGACGCCGCCGCGTGGCGCTCCCAACAAGAATAAGAAGAAGTGAAGCGCACGCGCGTAACACCCGAAAAAAATCACATTCATTACTATAATTATAGTTAGAAGAAAAACAAACAGAGATTCAGCTGCGCACAGCTGCAACCAACGCAACAAACAACAAACGCAATTGCTACGCGCAGTTGTTGACATCATCGTCATCTTAACCTCATTTTTAGCCTCTCCTCCCTCGTCAACAAAAACACGAAGTGCATTCGATCATTTTTTTTTTATCATATGCTCTTCTATTCTTATTTAAACGCTAGTGTTTAATGATTAATCTAATTTTATTTAAAAAGAAGAAGGAAACGAACGAAACGTATTATTATTATCTGACGTTCTTCACGTTACTGAACACAAGAATTAAACATTTACATAAATGCATACAAACATGTTCCAGTAGGTGTAAATAATTTTCTCTAGCGCTAGGGCAACAACGCATCCGTATATAGAATTTGAAAAACTTCCAAATGAAACACATGGTATACATATATAAGTTGTCTAATAACAATAATAACTGCAAAGAGATTGTAAATGGCGGTGCTGATGACGATTGGTTGATATCTCTAGCCGAAAATTAACGATAAACAATTGATAATGATAGAGTGTACGTATAACAACCATTATTATCATAATCGTAAGCTTAAGTACATGCTAAGATAAGTAATAAACTCGTTTCTAAATATTCAACACGATTTATTCAGTCTTGCGGAAATCAAATGATCAAAATGGCCGGTTTTTGACAAATGACAGCTTTCAGGATGTGTACGATTTGACAGCTTGTTGTGGCTGTCAAAATACTGTCATGCAACCGCGAGCGAACACTGCGATTCAGTTTTAACTCAAAACATAACAGAAAATCACGAATAATTGTTGATAAACGCTGAATTCTTACACAAAATACTCACAAATCAGTTTATATATCGTGTGCGTGAAGTGTGTCTCAATGTTAACCTATGTTTCGTTTTGTTATTCATCTTTTACCTTGATTTGCACACCATGACAACATCAGTGTGAAAAATAATATTGAAAATAATTAAAATAACTCGTCAAGTTATCCGGCGGAGAAATGGTTTGAAGATTTTCGTGAGTTTTGTAATGATTTTCGCTGTCTTCATGTTGTTTACACCGTTTTGTTTTAGATTTATCAGGTGTACTTACAGTTCTAAGTAATTATGGCAAATTTACCTTTGGAATCACCACTGGGTGAGTCGCCTGCTGGTAGTAATACAGTCTGGCAGGACTTCTGCGAACGACACGCTCAAGCAGCAGCTCAAGACTTTTCCAAATCATGCCTGCAATTTATTTCGATGAACCTCAATGAAAACACGCGCGCTTCTCTCACACACAAAGACTTCCTTCGTAAATTTCTCGATGTTTTCACGGAGCGTTTCGAGATTGATTATTGCCAGCGGCGGCTACAGGCGCAGAAAATTACGAATGGCACCGGCCGCCATAGCGATAACGAGCGGGACTCTGATGAAGAAGGCGCAGGAAGTCCGAAAATGCCACACAAACCTTTCTTCCGAAGGTTAAGTTTCAAAATGCTGCGTAAAGGCAAAGAATTGTTTCATAAGCAGCACTCTGATGAGGTGGAATTGGCTATGGCGGGTGTTGCGAGTGCGTCAAGTAGTCGTACCAAGCTGGCGAAGATTGTTGTCGAGTGTAGGAAGGAAGGTATTGTGAATTATTCAACGCCGGAGAGTTTGGATCAGCCTGGTGGGCCAGCAAAGTGGGAAAAGTGTCGGCTTGCGTTAGTTAAGGCTGTTGGAGGATATATGCTTGAGTTTTATTCACCGCCAAAGAGTACTAAGGTATTTCTAAAACAAAACAAAAAATTTTACATAATAATAACAATGAATTTTTATATTTATAGCCACGCAGTGGAGTTTTCTGTGCGTTAATCACAGAAGCAAGAGAGACAACAGCTTTGGAGATGCCAGATCATGAAAATACATTTGTATTGAAAGCTGGTAATAGTATTGAGTTTGTAATTGAGGCTCATGATACAGATGACATGAGGTTAGTCTTTGAGGTTAGGTTGTATGCTTTAGTTATTTATATGCATTTTGTTGGTTTTAGATCTTGGTTAGCTACGATAAAATACTGCATTAGATCAGCGCCTGGAAGTGATGTTCCTGATGGAGGTGTTGGTGGTACCAAAGCGGACTATCATGGTGACGCGCCGGAACTTCCGCCAAGACACGCTGCTTCCGGTCGTGCGGCAGGTGATCGACTCTCTTCAAGTAGTAATTTTGACATTTGTCCACAAGGTAAAATAAATCAGACTAAATTTATTGAATTTTATGCTTATGAGGAATATTTTTTTAGATTCTGATGTAATTGGACAGAATTTAAAGAAAGAGTTGTGGTTTCACGGCACGTTGGGTCGCGCGGAGGCGGCGCAGCTTGTATTACACGACGGCGCCGCCGCCCACGGTTTGTTCCTAGTCCGGCAGAGCGAAACACGCACTGGGGAATTTGTCCTTACGTTTAATTTTCAAGTAAGTTAGGTTATGTTGTATCCATGTAATCATAACCTGAAATATTTATTTATTTCTAGGGTAGAGCAAAACATTTACGGATGACGATCAACGAACAAGGACAGTGTCGAGTGCAGCACTTCTGGTTCCAGACGATCTACGAAATGCTCGAGCACTTCCGCCAGCAACCCATACCGCTGGAAAGCGGTGGTAACTCTGATGTGACACTCACCGACTACGTGGTTAATTCAGCCGCACGCGCCCAACTGCAGAATTCAATGACACGGCAACAAGTCACAGCCGCGTGGTCCACCACGACGAATAGTCCGGCGATTGCCACCGCGACGAATCAAAATGGCGGCGCGCCGGCGTTGGTAGCGAACGCGCCTGCGCAGGACGCTGGCAGCGGCGGTAGTGAACGGCGGCCGCCGCCGCTGCCCGAGACGCAACACGTGAGATGAAAACAAAACACACGCTAGAACAAACAAAAAAAAAACCAATTATAACCAAGTTTTTTTTTCGTTTCGTTTCTGACCGTTTTTAGTTTTGTTTGTAAATTGAAGACGGTGGCGGGGGGAATGTTTTGTGTGCTTTGTTTTTATTTTATGAACTTGCCTTGTGTTCAATCTTTATTACATATAAACCAACAATAATTTTAAGTTGAAAGTTCATTTAATTGCTAAACATTTTATTATTTTTGTGATGATCATACCTTATTTTGTACATATTTATAGCGTTAGCGTTCAACTGTTTGGTTGTTTAGCGCCGCTGGATATTTATTCGTTTTTATTCGGAAGCTTTCGTTTGTGTGCTTTGCTCAACAAGAAAACAACAAGATTATCAAACAAATAAGCATATAATACATTAATAAAACTACTTTAATGTTCATCGTTTTGTTTTTAACTTTCTTTAATACTATGTCTCACACCACGTCTTTTCTTCTATCCTTTATTTGATCTTTTTGAACGTTTGTGGTTGCAGCGATATTAATTTCTTGATTGATGGTTTTAGATTCAAACACATGGGGGCAGTGTACGAACGCAGGAAACCACGCTTGAGCAAATCAACGACGCGACGAGTCGCGCCATTGACAACCAGTACAGTTTTGTTTAGTTATGCGCTGGAAAAAGATTTAAATTAAGAAATTCAATATGGAGTGGACACAAATATGTTAAGAAAAGAAAATGATCACAGGGTATTGTATGTTTGTTGATGTTCTGGGTGTTCCATACGAAGTTCCTTTATGATGCTAATAAAAGAAATAAAAAATAATTAAAACTTACATAACCTGTTTTTGAAAAGTCATATTATAAGTCACATGCAAAATAACTTACATATTTCTTCATGATTTTTATATGGCAGTGGATAAAAATATTTTTGAGCATAATGAACATCTTCAGAATAAAAATAAAATTATACTAAACGATATTTTGACATTATGCTCATTCGACATAGGCAACCAACATTACACGTTAACTTTTAATTAAACTAGAATGTCAAACCAAATTTTTTTATATACATGAAAATGAAATAATTTATCTTGTTTCTAGTAAAGTTTCAGATGTCCGGTCACCCTGTCGAGTTCGTCTTTTGGTGCAGGTCCGAATGCGACCACTGTTCGCGTATCGGGCTCCACTTGAGTGTGGCCCGCGTCTCGAATAATCGAAACAAGAATACCGGCTTCTTTCGCATCATTGGCCAATTCCATCATCTCTGCTTCACTATCTAGTCTCACAGTAATTTTGGCTTGTCCTATTTAATATTAAATTATTATTTTTAAATAAGATGATGAATAACATTAGTAATTATTGAATTATTACCATATTTAGACCATTTACTTAATGCCTTTGGTGCCTTCTCACTTGCTTTAATGTAAGCTGCAACTGCTGCATGTGCTACCTGAGCAGCCACCTTTCCTTTTCCCATTTTTAAGTCATTCCTCACACCAATTATCATGCGGTACACTTTACCGCCAGACTTGGGCTAAAAAACATGAAATTGTAGATTGTAGTTGAATTTGTAATGTTGAATTTAATCAGTCTTACTTCTGTTATAGGTTGTTCATCAGATTGTTGTTGATTTTCAACTGGTTGAGACTTCCAGTAGCAGTAACCCAAGGAGAATCCAACGAACGCTCCCATCGCGAAAAAGGAGAACGTCGCTGAGTCAACTAACGATTTGTCGTCCATAATTAAACCGCTCTATTTAACTATGTACGCATTTAAAGAATCAAATTCAACTCAAGGCATCACATGTGTTTGTAATTTAAGGTTATGAAAAGCGCGCCGTTGCTTTGACAGTTATAGCGCTGAATGGAAACGTAACATACTATTATTACCTCGTAGCTACATTTGTCAGACTTCATCGCAAATAAGATCCAAGTGAGATATTTTAGCAACTCAAGTTAAGCCCGATACGTTATCACGTATATAAAAAATTTGGTTTGACATTCTAGCTAATTAAGAGATGTTAACTTTGAAAAAGCGTACAGCAAGTGTTTACTTAGTTTACTTAGGGTGCATTCGCGTTGGACGCTTACGCGCTGTGAGCGCTCACGCTTATAAGCACAAATTTTTAGTGTTCGAGATGGCCTATAGGCGCTTAGAATCAATAAATAAATTTCGTTCGTTTTGGATATTGTGAGCGTCAATAATCATCAACATGGCAACTGTTTATCAAATAATTTAAATTTTTATTTTTTAAATTTTAATTTAATTGTAAATTTTATTACTTTCTGGATCAGTTAGCTCAACAGAAATTAATTTTGGTTGACTGCTTGCCATTTTTGCGGGATTGTAAAGAATTTAACAATTTAGAAATAAATGAAATTTTTTGGTTAGCTTATGCTCAAGTTGCATTCGTTTTGACAGATAATAAAAATTGGCGCTCACGCTTTCGCTGCCCTACCTCTGTGGCGTGAGCATAAATGAGCGCGAAGTCTGTGCTACGAACTCAGCCATGAGCGTACTTATGTGACACTCACAGCGCCAAGTCGAACGATGAAAATGACATGTAAGCACGCTCACAGCGCGTAAGCGTCCAACGCGAATGCACCCTTAGTTTACTTAGCTTGTTATAGATGTTAACTTGTAAGGTTGGTTGCCTATGTCGAAGGAGCATAATGTCTAAATCACAAAGTATAGATATAAGGAGTCCGAACGGTATAGGCTTTGTGTACCACGAATATTTTTAGTTGAAACAGACATTTAACGATATTTTATAAGTACAGTTTGATATCGTTTGTTTATCATAAAATAAAATAAAACATTGAAAACATGGTGTGGAAAACACCCTGTATCTAGGGAAGTATTCGACTTTTTTGTAGTTTCTTAGCGCCTTGTTAAAGTTTGAAAACCTCTCTGCAGGATGCATATCTTCCCAATTTTCTAGTCCTTCCGGAAGTGTCCTAAAATACCTCTTAATAATTTGCATTTTTCATAAAAAATTGAAAACAAGGTGTAAAAAACACACTGTATCTCATAAACTAATTGACCTTTTTTGAGTTTGTCACCGCCATGTTATAGTTCAAGAGTTCCTCTACACGGTACATACATCTTCAGTTTTATAGCCCTTTTAGAAGTGCCCTAAATGCCCCTTAAAAATGAGCAATTTTCAAAAAAATTTAAAACATAGTGTGGAAAACACCCTATATCTCGTGAACTATTTGATTTTCTTGCGGTTTCATTCCGCCATGTTAAAGTTCGAAAGTCCCTCTATACGGTAGATACTTCTTCAGTTTTATAGCCCTTTTAGAAGTACCCTAAAACCCCCTTTAAAAATGAGCATTTTTCAAAAAAATTGAAAACAAGGTGTAAAAAACACACTGTATCTCATAAACTAATTGACCTATTTTGAGTTTGTCACCGCCATGTTATAGTTTAAGAGTTCCTCTACAAGGTACATACATCTTCAGTTTTATATCCCTTTTAGAAGTGCCCTAAAACTCCCTTTAAAATTGGCATTTTTCAAAAAATTGAAAACAAGGTGTAAAAACACACTGTATCTCATAAACTAATTAAATTCTTTTAAGTTTGTCGCCATCATGTTATAGTTCAAGAGTTTCTCTACACGGTACATACATCTTCAGTTTTATAGCCCTTTTAGAAGTACCCTAAAACCCCCTTTAAAAATGAGCATTTTTCAAAAAAATTGAAAACAAGGTGTAAAAAACACACTGTATCTCATAAACTAATTGACCTATTTTGAGTTTGTCACCGCCATGTTATAGTTTAAGAGTTCCTCTACAAGGTACATACATCTTCAGTTTTATATCCCTTTTAGAAGTGCCCAAAATGCCCCTTAAAAATGAGAAATTTTCAAAAAAATTAAAACATAGTGTGGAAAACACCCTATATCTCGTGAACTATTTGACTTCCTTGGAGTTTCTTTCCGCCATGTTAAAGTTCGAAATTCCTTCTACATGGTAGATACTTCTTCAGTTTTATAGCCCTTTTAGAAGTACCCTAAAACCCCCTTTAAAAATTGGCATTTTTCAAAAAAATTGAAAACAAGGTGTAAAAAAACACACTGTATCTCATAAACTAATTGACTTTTTTTGAGTTTGTTACCGCCATGTTATAGTTCAAGAGTTCCTCTACACGGTACACACATCTTCAGTTTTACAGCCCTTTTAGAAGTGCCCTAAAACCCCCTTTAAAAATTGGCATTTTTCAAAAAAATTGAAAACAAGGTGTAAAAAACACACTGTATCTCATAAACTAATTAAATTTTTTTAAGTTTGTCGCCGTCATGTTATAGTTCAAGAGTTCCTCTACACGGTACATACATCTTCAGTTTTATAGCCCACTTAGAAGTGCCCTGAAATGACCTTTAAAAATGAGTAATTTTCAAAAAAATTTAAAACACTGTGTGGAAAACACCCTATATCTCGTGAACTATTTGACTTTTTGGAGTTTCTTTTCGCCATGTTAAAGTTCGAAAGTTCGTCTATACGATGCATATTTTTCCAACCCCCTAACCCTTTCAGAAGTGCCCCAAAATGCACTTCAAAAATAGCTATTTTTGTCCCAAAATTTTCATTTTTGTGTCGAATAACAGGGTCGAACTTTTTGGTTAAATTTTTTTTCGGTCGAACAACAGGGTCGAACATTTGTGTAAAATTTTTTCGGGCCAAGAACAGTGTTGAATTTTTTTCTTATATTTTTTTGGTCGAATAACAGGGTTGAACTTTTTCCTTAAAATTTTTTTGCTCGAACAACAGAGTCGAACCTTTTTCTTAATTTTTTTTTAGTTGAAACATAAAATTAAAATTAAAAATAAAATTAAAAAGTATTTTATTTAATTATACAATTTAAACAACTTTTTACCTAACAGCAGTAAGGATATTTCCTGTAACCCTCATTAAGTGAAATGTGCACTCGCATCGATACTTAAAAGTCAATTATCTCAGGAACTAATAGAGATAAACAAAAATCAAAAACACCATGATGTTCAGCATCAAATCCTAGACAAGATAACATTAAAAAAAATTGAAATATAACATGTGTCTAAAAAATTTTCCGCCGCGGTTTTCTCGGAAAATAATAAAGATAGAATATAACTTTCTTCATTTTTTTCATGCCGTGGTGAGGATCTATTAAATGGCAGATTTAGTTTTTCCATTTTCCAAAGTTGACCGAACACCACTCAAAAATATCAAGAGGTTACACTTGACTCTTTTTGGACTCAAAAAATTTTTTTTAAGCCAGAAGAAAATGGAAAACGCTAATCGATTGAGTTTTCCAAGGGGATGAAAGATATCAAGTCAGTTTTCCGAAAAAATCAATATTTTGCCCTTTTAAGTGCGAAAAACTGTTTCGGAAAAACCTATTTTCCGAAATAATGATGCTATCGGAAAACTGCCTTGATATCTTTCATTCCCTTGGAAAACTCAATCGATTAGCGTTTTCCATTTTCTTCTAGCTTAAAAAAAATTTTTTGAGTCCAAAAAGAGTCAAGTGTAATCTCTTGATGTTTTTGAGTGGTCTTTGGTCAACTTTGGAAAATGGAAAAACTAAATCTGCCATTTAATAGATCCTCACCACGGCATGAAAAAAATGAAGAAAGTTCTTTTCTATCTTTATTATTTTCCGAGAAAATCGCGGCGGAAAATTTTTTAGACACATGTTATATTTCAATTTTTTTAATGTTATCTTGTCTAGGATTTAATGCTGAACATCGGGGTGTTTTTGATTTTTGTTTATCTCTATTAATTCCTGAAATAATTGACTTTTAAGTCTCGATGCGAGTGCACATTTTACTTAATGAGGATTACAGGAAATATCCTTACTGATGCTGAGGTAAAAAGTTGTTTAAATTGTATAATTAAATAAAATACTTTTTAATTTTAATTTTAATTTTAATTTCATGTTTCAACTAAAAAAATTTAAGAAAATGGTTCGACTCTGTTGTTCGAGCAAAAAAATTTTAAGGAAAAAGTTCAACCCTGTTATTCGACCAAAAAAAATTTAAGAAAAAAATTCAACCCTGTTCTTGGCCCGAAAAAATTTTTAACAAAAAGTTCGATCCTGTTGTTCGACCGAAAAAAATTTTAACCAAAAAGTTCGACCCTGTTATTCGACACAAAAATGAAAATTTTTGCACAAAAATAGCTATTTTTGAAGTGCATTTTGGGGCACTTCTGAAAGGGTTAGGGGGTTGGAAAAATATGCATCGTATAGACGAACTTTCGAAATTTTAACATGGCGGAAAGAAACTCCAAAAAAGTCAAATAGTTCACGAGATATGGGGTGTATTCCACACTATGTTTTCAATTTTTTTGAAAATTGCTCATTTTTAAAGGGCATTTTAGGGCACTTCTAAAACGACTATAAAACTGAAGATATATGTACCGTGTAGAGGAACTCTTGATCTATAACATGGCGGTGACAAACTCAAAAACAGTCAATTAGTTTATGAGATACAGTGTGTTTTTTACACCTTGTTTTTAATTTTTTTGAAAAATGCTCATTTTTAAAGGGGGTTTTAGGGTACTTCTAAAAGGGCTATAAAACTGAAGAAGTATGTACCGTGTAGAGGGATTCTCGAACTTTAACATGACGTAAAGAAACTCCAAAAAAGTCAAATACTTTACGAGATATAGGGTGTTTTCCACACTATGTTTTCAATTTTTTTGAAAATTGCCAATTTTTAAAGGGGGTTTTAGGGCACTTCTAAAAGGGCTATAAAACTAAAAATGTATGTACCGTGTAGAGGAACTCTTGAACTATAACATGGCGGTGACAAACTCAAAAAAAGTCAATTAGTTTATGAGATACAGTGTATTTTTTACACCTTGTTTTCAATTTTTTTTTTTAAATGCCAATTTTTAAAGGGGGTTTTAGGGCACTTCTAAAAGGGCTATAAAACTGAAGAAGTATGTACCGTGTAGAGGGACTCTCGAACTTTAACATGGCGTAAAGAAACTCCAAAAAAGTCAAATACTTTACGAGATATAGGGTGTTTTCCACACTATGTTTTAAATTTTTTTGTAAATTGTCAATTTTTAAAGGGGGTTTTAGGGCACTTCTAAAAGGGCTATAAAACTGAAGATGTATGTACCGTGTAGAGGAACTCTTGAACTTTAACATGGCGATGACAAACTCAAAAAAACTCAATTAGTTTATGAGATGCAGTGTGTTTTTTACACCTTGTTTTCAATATTTTGAAAACTGCCAAATAAAATACCCTGTATCTGGTAAAATATTTGTGGTTTTAATGGTTTTCACATCCATATTAAAGCTGGTATGAGAAATAAAAATACATAAATTGTTACGTCCAAAGCATTTTAATGCAACCCCTTGAAATTCATGTAACTACTATAAAATAGTTTTTAAAAATCGCGTATTTGAATGATTTCCTAAAACACATTAGAAAACACCCTGTAAGAATTGATATTAACATCCATCAATTGTTTGAAAGCTTGTTAGATGACATCCGATCGAAAACAACCCCAAGCCCAAAAGGCATCACAAGAAAACAATATGTACAATAAATTATTCTTTATTAAAAATTAGTTAATAAAGTTTAAAGTGTCCTGTTAATGGCTCGAGGACACTCTTTGGCGCTGGACCTATCGCAATAACAGTGCGGCTTCCTGGTACAACTTGTGTTTGTCCAGCGTCGCGTACAATTGACGACAAAACACCTGCAGCTTTTGCAGCTTCATCTAACTTTAATAAGTCCTCTTCAGACTCCAATTTTACAGTTATTTTTGTACCACCTGCAAAGATATAAGCACTGTTATCAATTGTTTATTATGAATCACATTGATGCTATTATTACCAAACTGTAACCAACTTGCTAATAGTTTCACATCTGTTTCCATTGCCTTCCTGTATGCAGCAACTGATGCATGTCCACATTGTGCAGCAACTTTGCCCTTTTGCATCTTGAGATCATTACGGATTGCCATCACAAGACGGTATTCATCTTTTAACTCAGGAAACTGAAGTTAAAAACTCACATAAATATTCATAACAAAATTTAAAAAATCAATCAATCAAAGAGGACAAATAGAAGTCTTACATCAAAACGTTCTTCCAGTGGTATTGTTTCCATGTTAATAATTTTCTCAAGAGTTGTATTAGACTTTCTTGTGAAGCGACTCAACATGTACATTACCGACGCACCAACAATTGTACCACTCGTGAACACAGCCAGGTACGACGAACTAGTGATTAGTCCCATCTTTATACAATCAATTAAATTTAAACTAACTAAAATTAAGAAATACTTCTTAAGATCTTGGCCGATCCATGTGGATTTGACAATTCAGCACAGATATTCGGGTTATCTGCTAGGCAACCCAATATACAATCTCAAAATATTATATAAACCAAGTGTACCAAACACAAATCAAGAAACTAAAACATCAAAATTGACGGGTTTCGTGCTCAATTTCGTCCAGACAATTACAATATACGTTTTGTTATATTGTATATCAGCTGATTATCGTAGTAATAAGTGTCTATGGCTAACTAACTATATATGAATGTACAATATAAACAATAATCTATACATATTTATCACACACTTGTTTTTTTTTTGTTGTCCTTCTCTCGAATATGCAAGTCGGTCGCGTTCCGTGCATCTCTAGCTAACGATTTTATTTGTTTAGAGATTGTTTATCGATTATAGGATTAAATTGGGTACGTGGGGTGTGGGCGGGGCTACTAGTTACGCGATGAGACGAAGAGAAGAGAAGAAACGTTGCTATGCGAGATTTTAGGTCATTTAGAGTAGTCGTCTACGTCGTCTAGGTTGAATCATCTTAACTTTGGTTGTTTCTCCGACTTGCTGCAACGCACAACGCACAAATCAATAGAATTTACAAAAAATCCATCAAAAACATTACACCTACCAGATAATGAACCCATATACTCCAACTGCTGCTTGCGGTGAGCCTCCATCAGCGCATTCAGCTCGGACTTTTGTCGATTCAGCATCTCCTCGAATGTTTCATCCTGTAAAACATGCAAGCATTAACATAAACAATCACAGCATGATGGGCAGGCTGTTGCTAACATATGTACAATTTATGTGCTAGAAGCTCGTGATTAAACATAAACAAGAACATAAATTGTTAGTCAGATTAATTTCAAAGTCAAACATAACATGAGGACAAAGCTTCCGCCACCTTGCCACCTAGAATGAATGTATCAGCCACCGACGATACGAAGAAAGAGACGAAGAAGATTTCTAGCCCCCAGGTAGACGTGCTCTGCTCGTGAAGTCTTACCACACGCTCGAAATACGTCTCCAGAAATTCGGTGATTGATAGATTGTTTCGGCGGCAGTCAGCCAGTCCACAGCAGCAGCGCGCCAGCGATGATGTGCTGCTCACGGTGACTGGTATGGTGATAGGCGAATCGCGCCGTAGGAAAGCCACTACCTCAGCGGGTAGATCATCCGGTGAGTGTACCGTATGATAGGAACTGCTCGGATCAAAACACTCCTTCTTGGTGTTACTATGCAGGTTCTGCATCGACAGCGATTGTTTCAGCTTGTTTTTGAGCAGATCCGATGGACTGCAGCTCTTTTTCGTCGATTTCGGTGGTGAGACAAGTGTGGACACGCCGGATGTACATGGGGGTGGTGAACCGGGGCGGTAGAATTGCGCAGGTGGTGATTTTGGACGGAAATCATGTTGGATGACAATGCGATCGCTTGTGTTCAATGGCAACGAATCCGGTTTTGAAATACTGACTTCGGTTTGGTTGCTATCCGAAAGTGTTATGGTGGGTGTGACTATTGTGCGTGCGCGGATTTTGATTCGTTGTTCGCCACGCCCACGACGGTATTGAAAGCTTAACCTGCGACGCGTACCGCTGACAGCGATTTTTCGTTTGCGCATCGACCCTCCTCCAGCGCCTTTAACCTCTTTAACCTTAAAATCGTTCACGAGTATTGGCGGACAACTGCTGTTTGACAGCGTGCGTATCCTGCCATGGAATAAATCTGGGCAACTACCGAAGTCATAGTTGTCGGTGGGTGATGTCACCTCCGGTTGCATGTGCATCTCTTTGAAACAACTGGCAATGTCCGGCATGGAAGAGGTAAAGTCCGTCGGCGGGTCGATGCGTATCTCGGGGATTTTCATTGTGCTCCGGCGCACGTTGCTAATCTTACGCGTGTTCACCGAACCCGTCGATTGGATAAATTTCGCTTCGGCGGTTTGCGCGGTTGTACCGGATGACGCACGGTCGCCATGTTTCGGAAGGATAGTTGCGATTTGTGCCGCTAGGTCAACAAACGAGAACGACTTGCGGAACTCCTTCGGTGCGCTGCTCGGCTATAAAATTATTAATCACAAAACACAAAAAAAAAAACAAATGAGAATTAATAAAAACAAGGCGCCATGATGGTATTAATGGCGTTTAGTCACGAAAGCATACGATTAATGAAAACTTACCACAGGGACGGATGAAACTTGCGCCAAATCATCTAAAATCGTAAAAATATTTTGATGTAAACCTTCAATTTTAAACTTTTAATAATTAACATTAATTACCTTTCTTTGGATAGCTTGTAGCAGCTTCTAGTAGCTTCTCAAAAGAGTGATTAATCACTGAGGTGATGTCTTCGGACTGCTGCGGGCCTTGTGGCTGCGCTTGCGCAATCACATGTGTCGCCACCTGGCCCAATCCGGCCGCAAGCTGAGGATGACCCTGCACTTGCATTTGCTGTCCTTGATGGTACACCATAGGCGGTTGCTGGGTTTGCGCATGTGCGACATGCTGAAAGACTTGTTGACTAGTTTGTGTAGACGGCGCTGATGTCGATTGCGCTTCCACCGGAATCTCCAACTTGCTGCGATCCGGTTCGGTGACTACGCTGACCTTAAACCTCGACACTCGACGCTCCTTCGGTTTGCTCGTGGTCAAAACCCCACCTTCGGGGGGCGGAGCTAATGTCTTGGGCAACTCCGCCACTGGTGATGAAACTAGTGACGTTGTAGTGGAAGATTGTTCGATGACACTCTCGCGCCGCGAGTGAATCTTGGCGATTTCGGCGTTGAGGTCGCAAAGCTTCGTGTCGTTTTGAGGTTGTTCCTGTACGGGGGAAAGCAGCTCGGAGGTGGCGCTACCACTATTAGGCGCGCTCTCACCGGTTCCCGTCGGTTTGCCATCACCGGCTGCGTTCTTCGGAAAGTCGACTGAGACTAGTGTGGTTTGTGGACTTAATGGACCCTGTTCGGAAAATAAATTTTAGGTTATGTCAATTATGAAATGTTGGGTTCTTACGGGTACTTGGCCGGTCATTGTAATCGATGAGAGTTTCTGCTGCAGGCTCTGCATGTGCGCCGAGTATTTATTATCTTGAGGAGTGCCGGGCAAACTATTTTGAGTACCATTACTGCAAGACAAAATGGCGTCGAGAAAACAATCAAAAATTTGTCACGCCCACCCTTACCCTTCTATAACTAACTTGAGATTCGGAAGCGACTTTTTTGTCTCGACATTGGCTGCAACTGCAGATGTGCCATTCGCAGCGATAGGCTCCACCGACGGTTGACTTTCAAGCGGAAGCGGCGGCAGTGTAACGATTGGCTGCGGAATGGCGGCGCTGACCTGCGGCAGCGACGTGCTTTGCGGTATACTCTTCGTGTACTGCGGCTGTGCTTGTGGTTGTTGTTGTACTTGCTGCTGCGGCATAGGCGGCAACACATTATACGCACTCGGCGCCATTGGATAAACCGTCGCGACTGGTTTCACCGCCGCAGCTTGCTGCTGTTGTTGTTGTTGAACCGCAGTGGCAGTATTCGGAACTAGCTGCGGTAGCTGCGGCAGCGCCACATGCTCCACCCCACCGGTTCCAACAATAGCCGCAGGCGCAACAACATTCCCAGCACCTTGAGTGGGCGTTACGGTCGGGAAGCTCTGTACTACAGGCGGGAGGGTAGTCAATGGCGGCGCTGCAGTCGGTACAACCGGAAGCGCAACAGGTGCAGGCACCGGCGCAGGCGCAGACTGCACCACATTCGATACAACCATAGTTGTAATTGTATTACTAGCAACCTGTGACGATAAACTCGTCTGCGAGACGGTAGATGTCGTTGGTGTGGATGTGGCAGACGATTTGACATCCAAAGATTCCTTGAGACTCACAGGCCCACCTTGTTTGAGCACCTCCAAACTCATCTTAAGCTGCTCCAGTGTGATCATCTCCGGGCCACAGACCAACGGCTCATTGGACACATTCTCCACACTGCCGGAAACAGTCACATTAGCGCTGGTCGAAGCCGAGATGGGAATCGACAACGGGCCGGTGACAGTTGCAGTCGACGAACTCATATCTGAAGATTCAACTGAATCACGACGTTCTGATAAGGACTCCGTGTCTTTATCCTTGTCATGATCAAACTCCTCCTATGAGAAACAAACACCATTAATATTCACAAAGTTTAGAAAAAAACAAGAACATAACCTACCTCTTTTTCTTTTATTTCCGCAGTTGTAGGTGGCAACTCCAATTGACCGGAATTAACCGGACTCACCAAGAATATCGATATCTTCCGCTGTTTGGGTGTTTGAACCTTCAACTGACCTTGACCCTCACCACCACTTGTATCTATCCCCAATGGTGGGATAGTCACAGTTGGTTTTGCAGCTACACCTTCAACAGATTCAATAACTCCGCCCACACCAGCATCACTGCCCTCTGGATTCTCAAGATGGACGATTTTAACGTCCACCTTTTGTTTGCCATCGTTCACATCCGCCTGTACAACCGGAATACTCATACTATCCGTAACTATAGTCGATGTTTCCGTATTCGTCGGCGCGTAACTAATCGCTGTGGTTTCCGTGTACAACGGACGCGTATCATGCACATAGGTATGTTCGGGTGTGTATTCGCTAGCAGTCGATGTCTTCCGCGATACCGTGCCGCTGCTATTGAGACTTTCACGACACGCAAACTGAGTATTCATCTTTTCAGCCAGTGAGGTTTTCAACCCTTGGAAGGCAACCTGCTGTTGTTGAAGTGTAGCATCATCGAGCAGTTTCATATCGCCAAACTCCGGCTTGATTGTGTATTGATCCGTTGTGGAATCATCACGCTAAGAAAACATGTATTAATACAAAAAACGCACAAAACGCAAGCCGCCATTTTGAATTTATTTCTATGTATCTAAATTACTTACTGATCGATGTCTTCGATGAGTCTTACGCAGAGGTCTTGTAAGACTCGCATGCCTAACCTTTTTTCAAATTTTATTTTTGTGTGTTCCAAACGCAGCATGTAAAACAAATCAATTGATTCCCAACGTCAAGTCAAGCATTCGATCACAATTACCTTCTGGATATATCGTGGACATACTGGTATTTTCTCCGGATTCAATTCCAGTTGCCGAAGGACACTCTCCAGTTGCTCGGTGAGTGTTTTATGCGTGCCTGGTTTGAGGCAGTTCTCCTTGATCATCCCCTCGATGATGTCTTCCGGTTTGGTATCAAAGCGATTAAACTTGAAGCTGATGGTCTTTTGTTTGCACAAAAGGTGGCATTCAACCGTGCCATCCGGGTGGATCTTTTCGACGGTGAGTTGTTTGATCGGTTGCTGGACTTGACGCTTGGGAGAGCGGTTGCGGCCCGCCAGTTGAGATTGATCGAGCGGTGCGGCTTGAAGTTGATCAATGCCGGTACTAACCTGATTAATTGCGGCGGGTTGTTGAGGCTGTGGTTGAGGTTGCGGTTGTTGCTGAGTGTGGTCATCTTTAGGTTCCTCTCCTTCGGGTGGCGCCATGGGTTTATACTCAACATAAGGGCCTTGTGATTGGTAGTATTGCTGTTGTTGCACAGGTGGTGGTTGTTGTTGTTGTTGGGGTTGAATTTGTTGTACAGGTTGAGGTACCTGTTGTACCGGCTGTTGTACTTGTTGTACCTGTTGATTTTGAGTCTGTTGTGACATCTGCTGCTGCTGTTGTTGTTGTTGCTGTAGTAAAACATCAGGATATTGATATCCATAATCAATAATAGGTGGTTGTGAAGTTGTGGACATCCTCCTTGAATGTTGGTCGACATTCTGCTCGAATGTAGCCATCGGTGGCAATGAAGCAGTTGATAATCTATGATGTTGTGTAATCTCTACAGATTGTTGTTGTTGTTGCTGCTGCTGCTGCTGTTGTTGTTGCTGCAACAAATACATCTGTTGTTCCAACTCGTTGATTGCCTCCTGGGGTGCTTGTTGCGGAATATACTGAATATGTTGCTGATGTTGTTGTTGTTGTTGAGGTGGTGGTTGTTGTTGCATTACAGCCGGTTGAATATGTCCGACATTCGTTAAAGTCGGATGAGTATATTGTTGCGGCATAGAATGTTGAGGAATCTGCTGCATCACGGGTTGATGTTGTTGCATGACCTGTTGTACATGTTGCACTTGTTGTACGTGCTGTTGCTGCATAGGCACAGTTTGTAGGGTTTGTTGACTAGCCGAAGATTGCATTATAGGCTGATGTTGACTAGGTGTTTGTTGCAGTTGCTGTGGTGGCGGTTGTTGCAACTGTTGTTGAGATTGCTGTTGCATCATTACATTCGGCGGTAACACTTGAACCGGTTGTGTTTGTGGTTGCGTTTGCTGTTGTGGAGGTTGTTGCTGCATCATCACCTGTTGTACCTGTTGTTGCGGTTGTACATACTGTTGTTGCGGCATCATCTGTTGTGGGACTTGTTGTTGAGGTTGTTGTACCTGCACCTGTTGGATAATTTGCTGCGGCGGTGGTTGTTGCTGTTGTTGTTGTACAGGTTGCATCACTTGCTGTTGCACCGGCTGCATAATCTGTTGTTGACTTTGCTGATTCTGCTGTTGTACATACTGTTCTATATATTGTTGTTGAGTAGGTTGTGGTACCTGTTGTTGCACTTGCTGCTGTTGTACCTGTTGTTGTTGCATGGTAGAATCATGTTCTAAAATTTGTTGTAGTGGTCTCGGTTGTACAACCTGCTGTTGTTGTTGTTGTTGTTGCTCAGGTTGCATCTGCATCATCTCCATATTTGCAGAATGTGGTACAGAATTCCTGTGTTGTTGCAGATCAGGCATACTCATCTGTTGCTGATAATTACCAACCAACAAAGACTCGGTGGATTGCTGATGAAAAATCTGTTGTTTCTGGAGGTCCATCTGAGAATCAACACTGAGGCGATGTTCAGGTGGTGGTACAACCTGAGAAGATGCCATCAAATCAGGCTGAGACACCGTTGACAACCTATGTTCAGGCAAAGGTTGAGTTTGAAGATACTGTTGAACTTGTTGTACTTGCGGTACTTGCTGTACAACCTGTTGTTGCTGTTGTTGTGGTATCTGCTGCACCTGTTGTTGCGGAGTTTCAACAAACTGCTGCACGGGCTGTGGAAGCTGTTGAGGTACTTGCTGTACCTGCTGTACTTGTTGTACCTGTTGTTCAGGTATATACTGTGTTGGCGCTTGTTGTTGACTTTGTTGTTGCTGTGGAGGAGGCTGATTGTAAACTTGTTGTACCTGTTGTACTTGTTGCACTTGAGGTACTTGATGTTGCTGTTGTTGGTTGTTATAATTCTGTTGTTGCTGCTGCTGCTGTTGGTAAGCTTGCTGTTGATAATCCTGTGGGTAAGTCTGTTGTTGTTGTACCTGTTGTACTTGCTGCACAGGTTGAACCTGTGCGGAAGATTGATTCGACTGCGCAGCTGCAGCAGCAGCCGCGTAAGTATAATTAGCATTTCCAGCCTGTTGGCCCTGTTGTCCTCCTTGACCAGGAACCTGTTGCACCTGCTGTACCTGCTGTTGTTGAACATTCGACGAATCCATTTGCTGTTGTTGCAAATACTGCTGTTGCAGATACTGCTGCTTCTGCTTCTCTTTTGTAATCTGAGTCACCTGCGCTCTCAGCAACTTTGCAACAATTTTCGCGTCCTCTTCAAAAATGATTCCAGACTTCGCCATTTCCTCAGCGATTACATCAAAGCGGTCCGTTTCTATATCAAACTCGAACTGAATAGCTTCATTCTCCTTATGTTTATGCGTCCGCTTCTTGGGGTCTATAACGCGCAGCCGAAAAATGATCTTGCTCTCAATCTGCGTCACCAAATCGATCTTCAAGCCTACATCCTCCTCGAAGAACGGATGCACGAGGAGATCCTTCACTTTGGGGCGGTCCTCCTTGCGCGGCCGGATGCAGCTCTCGATTACGTCGCGCACCTCTGGGTTCGCCACTTTTTCGAAACTTGCCGGCTTCACGCCCTAGCCACACAAAAAATAACAGTCAATTATTATTTTGACACAAAGTCATCAATGACAACCTCAATTCATTGTTTTACTATGGTTTGACTGTTACATAACCTCAACTTAAATGTACATAAATTTAGTTACAACATAACCTAATACACTTACAGAAATAACTTTCTTGTAGATTTGTGCTGGTCCAGTACATTCAGAATACGGATATTCACTGGTGGCCATCTCCAACATGCACATACCGAATGCGTAGACATCCACTCCCTCATCATAGTGTTCTTCATACATCTCCGGCGCCATAAACTCCGGCGTGCCTATGACAGACTTAGCAAAACTGCGATTTTTCAACGTCGCTAAACCCAAATCGCCGATTTTCACCGAACCGGTGGTGCCAGTGATAAAAATGTTATCACATTTCAAATCACGGTGAATAATCGGCGGGCTGCGCGAGTGCAGAAACGCTAAGCCTTTCAATATCTGTCGACACCAAGACTTCAATACTTTCGGATTAATCTTCTTGAATCGTCTCAAATATCTAACCAAAAAAATAAAATTTAACAAACGTAAAAAATCGTTTTAAACAATATTCTTACGTTTTTAAAGTTCCACTTAGCATAAGTTCCGTAACCAATACAATATTCTTCTTTTTATTACCAACAATACTCTCCCAATAGTTGTAGAACCTTACAATATTAGCATGTTGCAACTTTTTCAACATTTCAGCCTCTTCACGGAAACGCTGCCTCTCCGCTTTGTTCAACTTCTTCTCTTGCAACTCGCACCAGGCTACAGCAACGCCTGTCTGAGAGTCTAAACCACGATAGACTGTTTTAAACGATCCTCTACCAACCTAGACATTAAAAACACAAAAGTTAAAATTTGAGGTTAAAATTTTAAGGTTAAATGCTTATACCTCTTCTTCATACTTGAAAAATCTGCCACACGGACTAACCGCAATCGGTTTATAGACATCATCATCATCTTCAATCGCATACTCTTTATCTTGACTTTTACTTGAAGGAAACACAATGACTGGTTGTTCAGCAATCAGATCCGGATTATTCTCAGCAATCTCAACATTCTTATGCAGGATATCAATATTCTGATCGGTGATTTCAACCATCTGCGCTGTATTCATCATGTTAAAAATGTTCTTTGGTAGATTATACTTTGCATCATAGGGTACAAGCTGCATCTCCGATTGGGGAAAATCGCTATCATCATCGTTATTCGCATCAGTCTCAACCGGAATACACCTGGTGACGCCGCCATGTTTGACACTCTTCACTCCCTTAGTCTTCATCTTGGCTTTGACTTTTTTCTTCGCCCCATCAATGGAACTCACCTCTAAGAAGTTGGAATTCTCTGGCAGTTCCGAACACGAATCGTGATACTCCTCATAATCCTCGACGAATTTCCTCGCATCAATGCTATTCGTGCTGGGTGTGTGAGTTATCTTCGGCACGTACATTAAATTCACCACATTACTCGTATCACACCTTGACGACCCAGAATCGGTGTCCACTTTATCCGGAACAGTCTCAGCGTTTGTTTTCCTGATGGATGCGCGCGTTTTTGCGCACTCACGGACAACTCAATGCATTTGAGGCGGTTGTAGGTGATTAACCGCATCGCGGAGTCAATGATGTCGTTGATAAACGCACCCGCAAAACTGCGCACGCCTTTCTCGGATGTATCCTGCACGCGCAGAGCGTCTTCACCCTTTAGCAGGGATAGTGAATCTTCGCGGACGAATTGTACACTATCGAAGCTTTTGCGGAACACCGCCAGGTTATCGATGAATTCGTAGGATATCGAAGAACAGGAGTGTGTGCGGGCTTTCTTCTCGTGTTTGTCCAGTTCCAGTTTATCGGCTGTTTTCGCACGCGGTTCATTCTCGAGTGAAGTGCAATGTTTTGTTTTATGTCGCGGTTTGCTCGATGAACTGCCAGCGCTTTTAGTTTCACGTTTCTCCACCTTTTCCGGGTTCTCATCGTTGATCTTCATAAAAGTATACCGTGTCTTTTTCGTTTCCGTCGTGGTTTTGGTATTCTTCGTGATGGTTTTCTTCTTTTTACCGCTATTGCCACTCGATGATGAGAGTGATGTGGATGAGGACGATGATGGGCTTTTCTTGTCACGCGTGTCACGTGATTTCTTCGTGAAATCTTCCGGTGGGTCCTGATCAATGAACTCGATGTTATCGACGTCCATCGGGAAGGCTGTGGCATTGTTGCCGTTGTTTGGCGGTGGGGTAGCTCGTCCGAGCGCGGCGGCCGCATCCTCGCCGGTTTCGAACGAGCGGCCGGAGACGACGCTGGCGGTGCGCCGATGGCGCTCCGCGCGATGTTCACGCACCATCGGCCGCTCACCACCACCGCCGCCGCCAACCGGGGCCGTCGGTGTGACTGTGTTTATCGAGGAGGTGGCGGCAGCGGCGCCGGCTGGCGTCGCGGCGCGCCCCCCGCCTCCGCTGTTCGTGCTACCTGCTTCGCCGCGCGTTACTGAGCGTCGGAAGGCATTGCGCAGCGCCGTCACGCCGCCGCCGCCGCCGCTGCTTTTGCTGCTTTGCACGCTCGACGCGCTGCCTTTGCGAGGAATTGTAATATTTGAACCTCTAAAACCAACAAATTAACGCATAACTAATTGAATATTTAATTATACTTACAAACTGGGATCAAATTTAGGACACGCTTGCCCCGTCTTCCCGTCCGGGGCGTGAGCGTCCGCCGGCGAATTGCCGTTGTTTTCACGCGCGGCGCACCCGGCACAGCGCCTCACTGAATACCGCGCCGTTCCCAAATGCTGCTGTGGATCTCCGGTGGCGGTTGAAGGGATGGAACGCGGCCGCTTGCAGGCGTGGCGACTCGCATCGTGGTTGTGACCATTCGTCGACGCCACTTCCAGTCTGACAGCAATAATCAACCCCGGCGAATGAATCCACTTCTCAACGACAATCCACAATTATCTCCCAGCAGTAAACTTGTTTCCAAAACAATTCAAAACTGCAAACACACAAATAAAGCATTAAGTAAAGAACAACGGTCTAAAATACGAAAATTTACATTAAACTGTTAATAACTTTTAAACAAATTGAGCAAAACCATTAATTCTTTCATATTGTTATTCAGTAGAAAATTCTGCGTCATAATATATTAAGTTTTAGATGTAAATCATTATTTATAACAAGTTATTAACAAAATTATTAAAAAATATAAATTTTTCGATAATCAAGTAAAATTGCCTGTAACTTTGTGTAAAATAACGTTATCGACGTATTTTTGCGCTTGAATAATCCAGAATTTAATACTGAATATGTTTATAAAACAATGATTACTATCGCGCGATTAGTTTTCGAGTAATTAAACAATAACGCGAACAAAACACGCCTTCTTCTGTTTCAGTCACTGATTCACTTCGAAGCGTTTGTGTCAAGAATGTTTCACACTCACAAATCAATCACAATATGATAAACAATAAGTAATCAACGGAAATTTTAATTAAGCGATTAATCGCCGTGGGTTTTGCGTGTGTTCGGCGTGCGTTTTATCGGTTTTTGCGTCGCGACGCGAAGACAGGTGCTCCTGCCAAGACGACGGCCGAGCCAAGACCACTCGCAAACACTCGGCGCCTGCTGCTGCTATCGATAAAAATGTGAATGTTATTAATAAACATTCACCGCTCGTCCGCGATTCTTCACACACGCAGCATACACACGACCATCACGTCCTCGTATTGTACACACGCACGCACACTGTGAAAGAGATATATGCGTACACACTGCGTATCATATTAATTTCACTTTAAACGCACTTGCACACTGGTCGACTGGCACTGGTCGTGGCGTTCTGCGACGCACTTAGATATTTATCGCATGACTAGAACGGCGAATCCAATAAGAGTGGCGAGAAGACGGGACGGGAATGGCAAAAAAAAACTCACATTCTTCCGACACCGGGTCGTCGGTCGGGGCCGTCAGCCGTGAGCGGCGTGCGCGACGACGGCGACGTGCTGGCCGCCTGGTTCCTAGTGTATGCGGCGCTCGGCGCCCGCGATGCCCAGTGGATCTGGGGGGCGGTCGAGTTCGCCCGTTCGCCGTTCCCGTCGAGGTTGAGGTTGAGTGGTCGACGGTGGTTGAGATATGAGTTTGACAACACCCTGGCCGTGCGAAATTTTATTGGATGTTTTCATTGTTGCCACGGGCGGCGCTGTTGTTGGTAAATTCTTGTATACCGGGTGTTTACAAAATATTTGCACATGATTAAAATTAATTATTTTGGTAGATAGAAAATAAGGGACTTGAAAATTAAACCAATTGTTAACTTTACTTAATTTATAGATTATGTTGTTTTATAATTGAATTGTTATTGTTGTTTAAAGATTTATTATTAGGTTTAAAATTTTATAAAAATTAGTACAGACCTGTCATACTTTTATTTTCAACGTGGTATAGGCAACTACTATTACAGTTATTTTAGTTAAGGCTTGTTTGGTTAGAGGACGCAACCAAACTAAAATAAAGTAAAAACAAATATTTATTAATATAAATTTATTATTTACCTTCTTATTTTAAAACACTTCAAAATTAATATTAACAGTCAATAAATAAATTGTTAAATTTATATCTAGGTATTTTTAAAGTAAAAAATAATAAATTATTTATTTCTTGCTATAGGCAACCAAATCTACACATCAACGCTTGTATCACTTAAAACTTAATTTTTTTGTTTTAATACTATTCGAGGATAAGTAAAACATAACAAGATATTGTGTATGTTCATTTTTATTGTTGTACTTTTGTTTAATCTGTAATAATCCATATAATAATATTGATAAAATTGCTTATCGACCACTTTCGCTCTGTTTGTTCCTTTGCATCGTTCTCTCAACTAACAGCATTCAATATTTGTTCAATTGCACAATTAAATGTTATCTGCGTGTGCATAAGTAACACTTAATGAGTTAAGTACATAATTGTCTCCCTTGCACATTGTTAAACTGCTTTGCAATCGCAATAATAATAGCATAATTACAATTCATGTTATCTATGCAAGATAAAGTTGGTATTTTTCGTAATATAGAGATAATAGAAAGATAATAAAGAGATAAGAAGAGTACATAGGTATTTGATTGAGTTTTTGATTAGGTTTAAGTTTTGTAGCCACCGTTGTGTTCTCGTTTAGCAACCTCATGTTCACATTTGATTATTAGTTATTAATATAAAAATTCACATTCCAAGTAAAGTAAAATTGATAGTTTTGTAAACCTTTTAAAGGCTTACGTAAGAAGTGTAAAGAAAATCACATCTAAACATGAAAATAATATCATAGTTAGAAATTATTGAAAATTGTAATGTGGCATTGTATTAAGTAAGTTACAACGGTCTAAAATTAATAACCTAGGAGTATTTGGTAGTTATTAATTATTTACTCATAAACGCAAAGAGATAATATAATTATTTTAATGGTGATTGATAGAGTATTGAATTATGTATCTAATGTATTATATTTTATATAAAACGTAATATTTTGTTGGAGGTTATGATATATTAAAATATTAAATTGTTAAAATTAAAAATAAATACTTTTACTGCGTATAACTAAATAACTTGTTAGGTAAACACTAAAAGTCAGGTCTAATATGGCGCAAAATATTATATTGGTTCGATTGGTTTAAAAATAATCGTTTTATGTTGTATAGTTCTTGAGTTATTAACTAAAAAGTAAAGAAAAACAGGTTTTAACCTAAACATAGACCGTTAATCTGCACATATAACATTAACAGCTTTAAATGCGCTGAAAACATGTTTTCCAATACTTAATAGTTAATAATTATTAAACAAAAAACAATACAACAATTATTCTTTCACCAGTAGATTCAGAATTAAACATATCTTCAGATTCATTATAAATATTTTGAAATAATACTTAATTTACGCCGTAATAATGAAACAAAACTAGATTTGTCAAAATTAATTAAAAACTGTTAATAAATGAAAAATATATAAAATTTATTACTTTTTATTTAATTAAATAATAATGTATGTATCTCTTTGTGATTTTAAGTAATCAAATAATAGCTAAAAACATTTTAAAAGGTTTTTTTGACCATTTCACTTTACACATTGCCAAAATTCAATTTTCAATCAATTCTAACCTTTGTACATAGAAATATTTTAAAATCTGAATATCACAATCATCGACAAAGTGAGAAAGACTTGAAATACAACAATTAAATCATCTAAATATCCAATTGTTTCATTATCATTTCATTAACATCTCCTTCGCATTGTAGTTATATCTATAAGTTTACATTTGTAATCCATGTCCGCCATTTTGTCTTCACCAACGATTATGTACACCTATCGCCGATCGTATCACATTTAAATTTATTACTCTCAAATTTAGTTGCTTATCAATAAATAAAAACCGAAATAAATCACAAACATTTCTTGTATTCTATGTGTTAATAGAGTTGCCTACTATCGCCGTCATATGAATCGTTCAACATCGAGAAGAAATGCAATAATTACGAACTAATTAATTAATTCATCATTTTAGCCGCTACGATAGTCATACTCGTGTGTAAGTCGTGAATGTTAATTAGTGCGCCAATTAATTATATTATTAGTCGTAGTTCTTAATTGCTAAGTAATCGATTAATTCAATTTTTACATTCTTTGATGATCTATTTACAGATATTCATTTTTGTTATTAACTTTGTTAATTGGTAATTTAATTATTAATATTAATTATCTTAGTGTTAGTTGTTATGTTAGTTATTATAATAGTTTTTGCTTTAAATTTAAGTTTTAAATTTTAAGTTTATTAAACGTTATATCACTTTATTGTTTTTATTTTAGTTCTCGAATTGTTTTAATAGTAAAATTGTGCATTTTGTTTTATTCTTTATCAATTAATTGGTGAGTGTAATGTTTATTTTAATTATTTGCATTAATGTATACTGAAATGTTAATCCTAACCTCAATTCTGCACCCGGTTCGCAGTGTACCGAGTATATGAACCGAATTTGTTTCAAACACATATAATAATTTAATTATTATAATTTTTAGAAGAACATTTGAGGTTATAAACTTAAAATTGCATTTTCTGTGATTTTAACCTAAAAATTTGAGGTTTTACACCTAAAAATATTGTTTTTTACAGTAGTTAAATTCTTATATGTGTTTGAAAATGTGTTTCGGCATAAATAAATTAACAATAACAATATATCTTATTATTTTACCTACAACAACAAAATCAACGCAATTTATGCAAAAGATAAAAGTTGCAATAACGTATTTGTTAATTACTTGTTAAGAAGAAAGTGTTGTCAAAAAATATTTGTTATTCTCTTTGATTTGATTTGTTATTAACTTTTTGTTTAGCTCGTGCTGCGTCCGCTTTATAAACAATTTCCATTTGTCGTCTTGTGGTGCGTGTTGTTGTTGTTATTTATGCTTAAACTCTTAAACATTATCAAATTCCATGATGCATTTAACATTTGTGACGTTGTTTACGTGTTGCCGAGCATGGTGAGTATAGTAAGGGCGGCGGTGAGTGTAGCGCGCCAGCCGCCACCGGTGAGCGGCCGCACGGCGCTGGCGGACTTTATCGTCGTCGTGAGAGCCTTCTCGCGCTCGGTATTGAAGAGGTTCTTTGCCAGCGAACGCATTTTGGTGATCTTGTCGTCGTAGATCGCTGTGGAAGCATTCGAGGGGATGTTTACGTTGCAATAGTCTTGATCGCAGCATGATACACACATCTAAACATAAATGTCATGTATATTTGGTTGCCTATATTAACTTGTACTTGTACTTACTAGTTGTGTGTCAATTTCAACGCATCCAACTTTATTTCGTTGACATTCTTTCGCTCCCGTGCATTTTTTGTTGACTAAAACGGACGTGCCCTTGGAGTCCATAATGTGTAGCGTGTGGCAAAAAGTTTCACCTAAAAATATTAATTTTTAAAATTTATAAAACACTCTGTGTTTAAGTTAATAATTTAAACAGTAATCAAAACTAGATTAAGCATGTTTTACACGCAAATTACAACTTTCTGATTAAATTACAAATGGTACAAAATTAACCTCAAAGTTTAAGTTTAATTTCATACAAAGTGTTTCAAAATACCTGGCTTGCAGGGTCGATCGATGGCGTACTGATTGCAGATGTCGTTGTCGGAGACGTTGACGCAGATGTAGCAAGTAACGGCATAGTCGTCACGATTGCCACCCTTGGGGCCGACACCATCCGCCCCCGACGCGCCCCCAACGGTGTCCACCTCGTTCGCCGACGCTGTCTGCACGTGCGCCACGTCGTCGGCGAACGCCGTCGGCGTCGTGCCCCTGTTCGTCATCAGAATGCAGCTGAGTAGCATGCTGATTCTCAACATACTATCAACCTGAAACAATTAAACAAAATAATTACGTTCATGTATATTGAGTTGCCTATATTAACTCGACAGAAACGTGACTGAAATGGAAAATGATGTTTGATGGCTTGACTAATGCCTCGGTAAAAAATGCGACGCAACGCCATCTTGACAATATGAATGAGTGGGGCATTAAGCGACGGCGCACAGTGACATAACGTAGAATAAAATGTTTTGCCATGTTGGTTATTGTCGAAATGGCAGACGTGACACCCGACGAATGTGAGGATATTTGTAATGAAAATTGTCGCGTCCCACCGCGCATATCAAACACAAAATAAGATATAAGACATAAGACGCAACAAAGTGGCTGCACATGACGGTAATACATCATAAAACAAACAAAAAATTGTAATATTTTAAAATTTTAGGTTATTATATGGAAAAGTGTTATAATTGATACTTTGAGGTTATGTTTAAGGTTATTATGAAGAAGATACATCTATAATCATAAGTTAGTTTAATATTTAAGCCCTAGAGGATGATGTTACTATTGGTATCTATGAGTAAATGGGTCAGGGTGGTTGAGCAGCATCGGCACGCTGTCGTGTTTACTCTTCGTTATTCTTGCCCGCTTTGGAAACCTTAATTTACTCCAGCTCGAGGGACTCAGCGCCAACCCACACGTTCCAATTTTCTTTTCAATGCAATTTCCTACTGCACCTAACCTCAAACCTCAAACCTCAAAAATACATTGTTGAATCCTGTTAGTTATAAATTATGATTGTTAATGTTTATATTGAACGAGATAAATAGCAAACGCGCGTTGATTAACGCTCGGCGCGTATTTATTTATTTACTCGAAGCCCGCTGCCCGGCTTGGGCACTAATAATTTATTTGTGTATCCCTCGGAGCTGTGTCTGGGGACTGACGAAGAGATTCGCTGATCCGCTCGGAATCTCTGATCCTGTTTTCCGTATCAACATTGATTTATCAATTTTATTCGCTTTCTAGTGTTTGCGGAAAGAAATACGCACACAGATGGGATATTTTTGTTTGTCGGGTAGTTTGTGGTTGTGGTTAGGTTTGCGGGTGTTGTGGACGACACGAAATCACGAATTGTATCTGTGTATCTATGGAATGTTTTATCAGTGATTTTAGTGCCGGGTGTAGTTGTTGGTGTTAATGTTGATGTTGGTTTTGGACCACGCTGATAAATCCCGCAAATTCGCAAATTCCTGACGTGCTTCATCCCTTTTGAGGATGACGCTGAGAAATACGGGAATTGGGAGGCGGCGGCGGTGGATGGGGCGAGGCGCTTTTTCAACGTCGTCCTTTTCGGAAGGGACGGAAGGGTGCTTGGGGGTTTGGGGCGGTCGCTCTGGACCGGACAATTTGTTACGTCGATGGGAAACCTCAGCAGTGACAACGAAACACTATCAACAACACCAGACGCCATTCTTCAGTCACAAACTAGATTAAATTTATTTTATCAAAACTACATGAAATTTTTAGGTTAAAATAAGTTAGAAATGCTTATAATACACTTTAGCGCCATCTAGATTCAAATTACATAACTATAATTACAATTAAACTCCATATAAACTTTCATCCCTTATTTTACACCCTTCTAGCCACATTCTTGCAACAAAAAGTAGTCTATGTTATTCTCCATAATCAAAACTCTCTCCATACCAAAATATATTAAAATTGATTGAGTGGTTTTCTTGTAATGGCGTAACACATAAACAATTATTATATTACTTACGATTAATACGAGTTAATACGAATGCAATTTTTTTTCTATGAAGGAAAGCTGTAAACGCTGGGAAATGTAACAAACACGCACATAACTAACAAATCCGAACGCGCCGAGAACGTTCAGAATGTTCGGAATGAGCACCGAGATCGCTCCGAATGCTCAGCGTCTGTAGTAAACTAGGACCTAGGACGTAGACGTAAACCTTGGGGTGGAAAAACGGAGGATTCTAACGTCGTAAAATCTCTATAGTCGTACGACGCAGACTGTAACGCAAGCAGCGAAAGAAAATAAAGCAAAACAACGAAATAACCACCAAAAACTGAAAATAACTAGGTACCAAATAAGGAACAGGATATAATTAAAAAATAATTATATTTTTTGAGATATTAAGCATTAAAAATATTAATATTTTGAAGTGTGGTTTAAGAATTATCCGACAGAGGCGCTGTAATCGCCACTTTTAACTTTTGACAAATGAAACTTTCTGGTTTTACTCATAGATGGCATTATGATATGATTGTCACGATTTTGAATGAAATACTTGCTAATCAACAAAATATGCCTGATTGTTAAAATCTCTAGAGTTGTCATGTCAATTGAATAATTCGCAAATATAAATTATGTGATAATTCAATCATAATACAATGTAACAGACGAGAATTATTAAAATTATACGCTGAATATTGTACATATTAAACAGCTGATTCCCTCTGTACACATGAAATATACCAGCGCCACCTAGCGGAAACCACCTAAACTATTTTTTTACTTTTTATCATTTTTTGTAGAAATCTTCAACCATATTCAATTTGAGATTCTGTTGCAGTTTTCTTTTTAGAAAATAATGAATAAATCTATTATTTCATTATAAATAACCTAACCTAACCTAAAAAAAAGTTTCTATTCTTGGATATTGGCATGAATTGTAATGAGAAAATATCGAAAGCTCCTTCCTGCGCTGAAAAAGTAAATTGGAAGAAGTTGAAGAGTTGAATCGAAGTAAGTTTTGCAGCGAAAAACGGCGCAAAAAAATAAAATCGACCATACAAGAGCGCTCGTAAATTGGATTAACATTACTGTGTGGGTGCTGTTAGTGCCGTTAGTACCAAGTGTATACACTGTGTACCACCACAAGCCCAGCGTGTACTAAAGTCCTTAAACCTTCTGCACAGCCAACATCCTGCATTCAACATCCAGCAAACCACCAACAAATCTTCAGCCACACAATTACAATACTGCTCCGTACACATACTTGCATTTTTATTTCCTGTTTGTGTGTTGGCAACATAAAAACTTTGCTTGCGCGTTCAGATATCGCCATTACGATTGCCAGATGTGAACATTTCACGTTTTCCCGTTTTCCGGTTGTGCTGCTTTTTGTATTTCAATATATTATTTGCAGAAATTTCAGGTTTTCTTTAGATTTTAAGTATTAAAATAAAAACAAGTCAATTTCCCAGTCTACCGGTTTTCCGTTCTCTTGTATTTCAATAAATTATTTGCGGAATTTTTATATTTTGAATATTTTATGTCTTAAAATATAAACATGTCTGTTTTCCGGTTTTCCGGTTTTATACTTTAATATTTAATTTATAAAAATTTCATATTTCTGACATTTCAAGTTATATTAAAAATAAAAGTAGGTCAGTTTGCAAGTTTTCCGGTTTTCCGGTTTCTTGTATTTCAATATATTATTAACAGAATTTTTATATTTTGACATATTAAGTTCTATTAAAAATAAAAATAAACCAGTTTGCCAGTTTTCCGGTTTTCCGGTTTCTCGTATTTCAATATATTATTTGCAGAATTTTTATATTTTGACATCTCAAGTTGTATTCAGAATAAAAACAGGTCAGTTCACCAGTTTTCCGGTTTTCCGGTTTTGTATATTTCTGCGCATAATTTGAGTTCTGACACGCAGTTAAATTCGAGTCCTTTGAGACTCGTCCCCGTCCTGCGTCTTTGACTCTTTTGACACCCGTAAGTTGTTCTCTTCGCGAGTTTTTTCCGCCTTGGACGTGACATGGCAGCGTGCCAGCGAACGTTCCGAAAGTCGTTACGAGCTCACTCGCTCGCCCACAATTCTTTCAACTCTTGTAGCCACCCCTCAGAGCAACCCTCACAAAAGTACAGCGCATGAATACAACATAACAACAATGCGTCGTAATCTGTATACGTATACATCGCCGCGATGCAGAATAACGAAGACTAAATGCGTCGATAGTGGATGCTCAAAGCTGCCACGTTCCGAAAGCTCCAAAGCTCACAATACGATAGTATAACAGTGTAAAACTAAACTTGAATGCTTAAAATGCCTGGAAAGCTCGAAAGCTCAAAAGTACTAAATCTCAAAAGCTCGCATTTTAAAATGTTGCATCATTTGAATATATTATGTATATTTTAAACTTAAAATTAATAATTTCCGGTTTTCCGGTTTTCCGGTTTATTATATTAGTATTAAAATATATTAAATATAATTAAAAATAAAAAAACATAAAATTTATGTTTTGCTACAATAGGAGTAAAATTAAGTAAATTTCCGGTTTTCCGGTTTTTTTCAAATTTAGCATAATTTTATTATTTTAAATATTATTTGTATTATTTTGTTTTTTAAAGTTAAAAATATGTTTTTATGACAATTTCCGGTTTTCCGGTTTATGTATTATTATAAAAATAAATAACTATTGTAAAATAAAAATAAATAGTTATATATGCTAACATTAGTATAGTAGTTAACTAGTTTTCCGGTTTTCCGGGTGTACGTGTTTCCGTGCTTCAAGTCGCACGTCCTTCCCGTCACATCCGAGTGTGTCGTGTTCGTGTTTCATTGTTGTCCGAAGTAGTAACACCAGGCGCTAATAATAGATGATAATAACCACGGAAGCAGCAATTAGCACAACTTGTCTGCGCCCGCGCTAAGGATCAAATTGCGTGCGGCGGCTGTAAGTGTATCATTGTATCAGTGTGTTGCATCAACGCGTTTTATTTCCGGTGTTCGTCTGAACAAGCGCGAGCGAGCGGGCTGTGGGGGACGGACGGGCGGTGGCAACATCATTCATTTCGATTTGCCATTGCTTGCAGCGAGATGCGGAAGTCGATGCGGATACGAACGCGGATGCGAACGCAGACACGGATGTGGGCTACATTTCATCGTTTAACTTGCTCCTTTTTCTTTGACTTTTTCACGCGACTGTTTTTTTTGCTGCTTCTCTTCTTCTTGGGTTTTTTGAAAGGATGAAAAATGGAGGAAAAAGTTGATGAGGAAAAGGCGTAAGCGTTTAATTCGTAATAAGTTGCGTGAGATATTCGTTTACAAGTTTTTCCGGTTTATATTTTTTGATGTTAAACTTTTTTTTGTAAATGTTTAGGTGTTTTTATAACTTCTAAAATTTTGAAAGTAAACTTTGAGGTTAAATTACTTTTGAGTGGTTGAATTAATTTTAGTTTTCTTTGTGGATTATTAAAGTTTAATTAATTGAGTAGTAATTTTTAGTGTGTTAATTATATTATCTTAACATTAACGTTAATTATTGCAACATTTATAAATAAAAACACAAATGTAAAAATTTTAAATAAAAATTTAAAAATTAAATAATTTGGTTTCTATTATTTAAATTTAACCCAAATTAAAGGAAATTTATTATCAATATCCAAACTATATATTAACAACAAATAATTAAGTTTGAATTAATTGTTTATAAGTTATTATGGTTTAAAGTAAAATTTATAATTTATAATTTATAATAAAAATAATATAAGCAAATGCATTGATTTTATTACTAAATTGATAATAATAAATGAACCAAAATTACTACATATATAAAAATTTCCTAATATAATCTTAATAAACGTAGCTTCAATATTTAGTTTTAAATAATTATGTATCAGGGGACCACTAAGAATATGTGTACAAATTTTCATGATGATCTGTTAAGTAGTTTTTGCGTGAAAGCACGATAAACTTCAGGACATACGCATTTATAATATTAGTAAGGATGTATAGTTTTTGAGTTAT